CACAATCTGAGAAGCCTCCGTGGAACATATCCATTCAATCACTATTCTGTTTTGTTCATAACAAAGAATTTTACAGCATTTACTGTTCATATGTGGTGAGATACACTTTCTAATGTAGATAGGCTTTGAGGATGTGACAGATACTGAGTAGTTTACAGTGATAAAATCTTATGTAAAACTTAAATCATAAATTTCTGTGAGCACTTGAAGAGTTTTTCTTTAAGAAGACTATTTAAAAGTTATGAAGGTACTTGAAAGACTTATTTTTGATTTAATAATCCTGGTTCAATACTCTTTTAAATCTGAGTAAACCTGTAGAGACACTTAAACAACGTACTTGAAATAATTAACAAAGTAGTGGTTTCTGAACTGCTCAGTGGTGGTAATTTCTTTTGCAATGCCATTGACTTTATAAAGAGTTAGAAGGGTACCTCACTAAACCCCTTGATCTAGGCCTTTGGCCCATTTAAGACTTCTCTAAAGACTGTCTTAAGACAGTGCAGCAGCCCTACTTCTAGCTCCTTTGCACTTTCCCCCTCCTGGGGGAGGGGTGTAGATTAGTGGCTGCTAAGCCAGGGCCATTATTCAGCTATCCACTTCTCTTGGGATCTTAAATTCCACCTCATGGAGGCTGTGGCCAAGATCACTGTTAACTGTCACATCATTGGTCCACTCTCCCTTTATTATGAGTAGCAAGTCTAATAGTGCCTCCCCTATTGAGCTTGTCTGCCTCAATCCCATTTGTCCTTCATTCACCATCAAAATCTCCAGGGTTGCTTCTGTGCTGCCACGTTGCATTTCCAACCGATGTCAGGGGGACTGATATTTTTCACATGAGATAACACTTGACTGTGTAGTATTTTTTTGTTGTTTTTTGAAGGCTTCATCTGTTGATGGGGCAGTCTGTAACACATGATGTTCACCATGATGTTCCCTGCTTGAATCCCGACCCATGGATTTTCAACTGTCATGTAGCGTGTTCTACACTAAAGCTCCATTTGCTCAAGTTCTTTGCAAAGTATAAGCACTGTCCTTGACTTTCTCACTTCTCTCTTTTTAAAAGCCAGTATCCATTCACTGTAGTTCTCTGGCTGTGTGAACTGTCTCACCATGCCACATACTCCCAGTAAGATTGTTGTGCACCCTGGTTTATAATCCCTTGTGCTTGCTTCCTGTGCTGAATGCATTCATATACAGCCAGTTAAGATGTGTTACTGTTCATGACATCTTTTCAGTGGGACTGTAAGGCCTTTGCTGTTGTGTTGTCCTGTGCATTTGCCCTCTCTACCATTCTACTTTCTAGGCGTCAGTCTCCACTTCCCTGGCAAACCTAGTTTGAAGCCCTTCTTATGAGGCAAGCCTGTTGACAATGACACATGCATTATCAAATGGATCCTGTTTCTCTCAAGCACTCTTTGTTTCTCAGAGGATCTTAATACTTACACATGCCTGCAGCCATGTAGTCAGATGTTGATCCACAGAATGTGTTTGCTCCTGTCAGAGCCTTTTCTCTGGATCAGCACCTGGGTTCTGGTGTCATTCACCATTGTCCCTGGACTCCTGTAATTAGCTTTGATCTGCTGAAAATCTCCTTTGGCAGTATCATATGAGGTGGCAGTGAGATGAACAAATTGTAATGGCCAAATGAGCTGTAAGAGTTTCTCTGCAACATTCCAGATTTGGACTCTGAGGAAGCAACAGAGCTTTTAAGACAGCCAGACTGGCTGCTGAGCAGGTGCCTTCATCCCCCTGGGAGTCTTCAATTGCTGTCACCTGTTGCTTCTTCTAGTGATGACTAAGCTCATGGATTGGGCTTAGATGCCAAACCTGATGGAACTTGTATGTCCTCACCTCTTTCCTTGGCTGCCTGCCTCTTCAGCACCTGAATAGCTATCAGTAGAAAGAGAGAGTTCCCTTCCTGGGGCTGGAGGTCACAACTTCCAGCCTTTCTGGTCTTGGGAGTCCTCATCCTAGCCCTGAATGAGGAAAGCAGTAGATTTGGTGGAGGGTGGTTGTGGGGCAGGGGGAAAGTTAATGTAGGGGAAGAACTGTTCACAACATTGTTGAGGAAAGCAAACTGTGGAAACTTCTTGGGTTAAGAGCTGTATCATAAATTTCTGCATATGAAGACTGTTAGAGGAACCTAAGGGTTGCATGTAATGAAGAAAGGTGATTTTTTTATGTGAAGATAGAAGAAGTAAGACAAATAACAGAAGAAATTTATTAGAGGTAAGGGGAGTTTGACTCATTGAGGTATTACGAGTTAATAGAGCCAATGGTGTTTCTTTTTAGTTTGGTGCTAGAAAGTGTCAAGGCTCAAGTAAAAGTAGTTTTGAAACATAGTTTGAAATCAAGGAGTTGGCCACAAAAACAAAAAATTGTGTGAAATTAAAGCAGATTATTTTTTGTATCAGTGAATTACAAGAGGCTCTTCAGGTTCTGAAGAGTTCTAGAACTACTACTACCATCTCCTTACGCACACTCTCTTCATGAATTAAAGCAAAGGTTTATTGAAATGCCTGTGTTTAGGTGGTTACATTTTATGAAACAGTGCCAGCACATGTTCATCAGTAGCTGTTCTAGAAACCAAGATGTATCTTCCTGTTTAGGCTAAGTCAGAATTACATCAATGCTGCTGAAAAGCAGAACAACAACTTTGTAGAAAACTGCACGAAGTGGAAGTAGTACACACGTTTTCTGAGAAAACTTTAGAATAAGTGCTGGAAAAAGATTCTTTAGGCTGTACAAGTAAACTTTGTTTTAAAAGAAAGGATCTAATATCCGAATGTGAGGAAAAAATTTACCGCATTGGGTGAATCTTAATAACTGTGACTCTGTGGGGAAGTTCCGTGAAGACTTGCGAAAGAAGCATCAGTTTGAATGGGTGGGATAGAATTAAGTTTGGTGAACTAGCAGAGAAGTAGGGATGGGGGTGTGTTTTTGTATAGACAGGAGCAGGCAGTAGAGCAGACAGGTATGTGTAAGTACAAAAGTAAAGGCAGAAACAAGTGACACCCACCACACTTGGGGCAGGGGAGAAGGTAGGTGTCCAAAAAACGAGGTTTTGAGTGCTGTCTGGAGTGGTAAACAAGCTTCCTGTTTGATTTAAAAGCTAGTAAGAAATGGGAGTTAGTGTTTGTTCTTTTGAAATAAATACAGCTATCTCCAAGAGATACTTCACTCATTCATGTCTTTACCCAGTGACGGTAACTTGCAAGAACCTAAGTATTAGTCAGCTGCTGAGCTAAAGTGGCTTGCAGTTTATAACATTGAGCATAATAATACACATACAGTGTGTTTTGTATTTCCAGACTGTTGTGTTTGGGGAATTGCTGTCTTAACTTGAGACTTCTTCATCTCTCAGGTTTTTTTTTTTTGTCCATAACCCTTTGAAGCCAGTCATCAGGGTTTTTTTTTTTTGGCCATAACCCTTCAACTGGCTTCAAAGGGTTATGGACAATAAAAAAAACCCTGAGAGATGAAGAAGTCTCAAGTTAAGATAGCAATTCCCCAAACAAGAACTGGAAATTTGTGGAATGCTGATAGATGTGAATTTATATTACACTGAATATAAGAGTCAGTGGATAGTGCTTTAAGGTAATTTTTAGTGTATGCTTGGGCCTTGGAATTTTGCTTTTTGTAGGCTGTGTTTAAAAAGTGTGTATATATATATTTGTGAGAGTTGATTTTGGCAACTTGTGGTCTTGCATAAGACTATATTACAAAGAGAACTGGAAAATTAAAATAGTAATAAATAACCTTTAGAGCATTAAAATGATAAAATAATACAAAACTGAAAGGTAAATTTCAACCAAATGTGACCTGTCAAGCTGAACAGCTCCTATGTGTTGATAGCTTCTCTTGTCTATGCTAGGATTTTAATATGTTATTTAACGTGCTGCTTAAGATATAGTACATATTTATTCTTCTTTCCTTGTACTAGTGTACATACAATCTAAACCAAAAAGTAAATGTCATTTCTGATGAGACCTGTATGTCGTGTTGTCTTAAGAGGGCTTTACAGCTGATGAGCAGATTTTATGATTCTAAATGTTCTTTGTTGATGGTAGTTGTTTTCCTGAACATATTGGTATCTTTTATGTGATGTGATGATAAAATAGTCTTAGAAAGTACTGTAAAATAGCTACATCTTTAATATAGATAGGTCTTCAGAATGAAGAATGAGAACCTTCAAATGCTGCTTTGATTTATCCTCTTAGTTGAAAATAAGCTTATGATTTGGAAGGAGAGAAAAGGAGGCATTTGGAAACTGTTCCTATATTGAACAAAACTTCTTTTGGTGATGCTGATTGTGTAAATTCTGACCATATTTCATGCATCTTATGGGGTTTTGTTGGCTTTTTTTTTAATCATTTGGTTTGCTATGTCTCTTCTCCCTAGTTTGTGATTTTACCAAACACCTAACCAGACTAGCTGGTAAATCTGGAAAATAATTGGATTTATCTAATCCTCAAATTTAAAAGGTTTTTGTACAGATATGGAGGACTAGAGAGAACTGTTATGGTAGCAGAAGCAAAATAAGCTTGCTTTTTTTTTTTTTTTTTTTTTTTGTTACATTTGTATGAACACCAGCCCACTCAGATTTGGTAATTGCAGGTGATCATGAATGAGAAGTTTCTGATTTTGAAGGTTTCTTCCTCCTTCCCCTCCCCCATGATTCTAATTCTCAGTGCCAGAGAGAGACTACTTCACTTGTGTAGAGCTACAAGGCTAATCCTCCCACCTTTAAGATTCTGTGGTAGTTATTTTAAGTCTAAGGAGGTTGTTGGGGCATGGCTTAATAGGCTGATTGTGTGCAGATGGCAATTGCCTTGTCTTATTTTTATCTTCTAATTCTGTTGAAGTGTACTATAGTGGAAGGAGTAAATATTTGTGTGCTAAATTAACAATTTTTGGAATTGCTCTCAGAATTTGAGATACTTGCTGCCAGTGTTCTTGGATTTGCTTTCTTTTAAGAAACTTTTGATTTACTGTTTTAAATGTTTCTTCTGTTTCCAGGTTTTGAAAGTATTTTAGAAGGGCTTTATGGACCAAGGCTACGAAGAGACCTCAGTTTATTTGAAGGTAAATGAGTCAGCTCTAGTGCAATGACCTTCATTTATTTTTAATTTTAGTTAAAGGTAGTTTAAAGTATGCATTGAATTCTAAGAAGAAAATCTTCAACTGTTTTTCTTTCTAATGTTTATTTCATCATGTTCTTGGCAATGCTGTGCATAGGCAAAGTGCTAGGTAAACTGGTATCTAGGTTTTGTTCCTATGCAGGGAAATTTTGGATTAGCTAAGCTTTCCTGAGAAGCTCTCATGAGAAAGATCTACTTTTCTGGGATATTGCATCTCCTGCTTTGTTTCTTTGGACAGCTTTTAGAAAGGGAGGACAAGCTGCTCAGCTGCCTATTGACATTAATTGGGAAAAGGAAGGTAGTGAATGCTAGATTAGGTTATTAGGTTTCTTGTAACGGTCAAGAATGTATAAGCTTCTTATACATATATTTTTAATATCTTTATATAAAAAATAAGCTTTTTCTTTTCGTATATACAGAAAAAGTATATCTATATTTAAGGGGTGTGTGTGTATATGGGTGTGTGTATATATATGTGTGTGTGTGTGTGTATATATATATATATATATATAAAAGTAGATATTTTTCCATTATCCTTATAAGACCTAGCTTAGTTTCACTGCAATAGCTGTCAGTAACACCTGAGCCCTTAGTTAAACATAAAATAATGGTTTATCCGTCTTTAACAAAAGCAGAGGAGGAAAATCCAGAACAAAATTTCTTTGAAGTGTCAAAGGAAGTGTTCTGTCAAGTTCACTTTCATGACTTTAAAAAATGTTTTGTTATCAAACCTTCAAAATGTTCCATTAAATTTCTTTAGAATTTATTATCTGATAGTGTAATCTGTAAAGCGTATAACCTATATACTGCTAGAACAGGAGGCAGAGTGGGCATGTATTATTTATGTTTGCTTAGAATAGGTTTGGAATGACTGATTTTACTTGGTTATGGTTTTGTCTTCTTCATATTGTGCAAGTTCTTCGGCCTGAATCATATATGTAATACAATATTTTAAAGGGAAAGGGGGAGAGCATGGAATACTACTTTACTGATGTTTTAGGAATATTTTTTGCCACTTAGCTTTATAAGCATGTCACTAGTCAGACTTAAAAATATTTAAGAAATGTGTAAATTTGGGTTAAAGCTTATTTCCATCTGCGGTGATAAACAAGCACGTTACTGCTTTGAAAAGGGAACAGGGCATTGTTACAACAGTGTACAGTATCTTTTTATTAATCTGGTTGTAATTCCAGTGGGTTGCTATGTGTTGGGCTGATTAGTGACTAAAGCTTTAGTGTTCCTTTGCATCAAAGGGTTTACATTTTGAAAGAAAATTCAGGACACTTTTTTTTTTTTTTTTCCCTTTGTGTGAGGAGATAGAAAGTACTGAGCTAATGAACAGAATGTAAGTGTTGTAATTGAAGGAGCCTGATAGTACAAAATAAGGTGTACATTGCTCCTCTAGAGTTCCTATGTGCATATATTTGAGCTGTCTTATGGGAAAAGTTCTAGCTTATTCACCTTATGCTGTTGAAGATTTCTTGTAAATTATACAAGATCTGCTATTTACATTGCTTGGAGAGGACTTTTGGTATTTGATTCCCCAATGACTTGTCCAGTATATGAAATTAATGTTTGTGTAAAACATAAAGTTTTAAAACTAATTTTTTTCCCAATTTTTTAAGAATGTCTGTCAAGAATATTTCAACATTTAAAGTCTGTTTCCATGTTTGACACATCTCTAAAATTGATTTTACTGCTGGAGTAACTGCAGAAGAGATGAACACAGTGTCTGTAACTTCAGTAATGCTTTTTGAATCTGCCATGTTTTGTACAAAGCCAGTAGAGGTGGAACTCATAGTATAGGCTGCAGGGTTATTTCTAATTTGAGGTCTGAATTGATTTATAAAGATTAATACAGAATTCCTGAGTAAAATTTGTTACAGATTTTCCACTGATGTAATTTAAGTGTCACTTTTCAAGTAATGAAACTATGATACAAAGTAAAAAATTGCCTTAGTTAACAAAATATAAGGTTGGCAGAATCAGAACCCAAGTTTTTAGACTCTTAGCAGTATCTAAATCACTGCATCTTGTAAGGTGTCCATTTTTCTCATCGTGAACTGAACCAGTACTGTCAACATGCAGCATTATGCCCCATTAGCAAGAGTGTGTGTTTCCTTGAACAAATCTCAAGAAGTTATATGGTTTTCTTATCCAGAAATGTGTGAGAATCAGCTGAAATACATGGTGCTTAGCTACAATAGCATTTTTTCACTTATGTTGTTGATTTTATCTATTGCTTGTAGCATAGAAAAAAATTAATGTGCATAAGATGTTACATGACTGTGTTAATTGATTTATTTCCTCTTTATTTCTATCCTGTAATAGTATTTGAGCTAAAGATTATTTTATTCTCTCGAAGTTGTTTTTGATAATAATTAATTGTAATGGCAAATTTAGATGATAAAAGGTACACTTCAATTTTAGTAGGTTTTTTAATTTTCAAAGAAAATACCTTGCAAACGTGTAAATCAGATACAATTTTGCTGAGAAGCCAAACTAATTAAACTGAAACAGTCACCATACAACAGATAGTTACCTGAAGAATACAAAGTTTTATTTTTGTTATCTTGAAATTCTTACACGTGTATGTCGGACTTACCTTGGGCTTGCCTGAATGGTTCTTGTCACCTCTGTTATTCAGCACCTTGGTTTTTTTAACCCTGATTGCTTTGGTAGTGCAGCTTCTGGTTGCAAAGGTGTCAAGTTCTCTATCTCGGCATCTGACCTTGGTCATCTTCTGAACAGGCTTGAGGCTTCTTGTGTCATTGAATCCTTAAGGCTTTCTAATCCTTTGCTTATGCCCATTTTCAGCTAAGCAGATTCACATGTAAATTGTTATTCTTTACATTTTACTTACAGATATTTATTAGCTGAACTGTTAGAAAGCTTTTCCTCTGATCATCTGGTTTCTGTGTGTTTTCTTTGTGGGATATTCTCTTACAGACAGAGGAAAAAGTGTCTTGCAGGAGAAAAGCAGCTCTCATCATTCTTTATCTGCCAGGGGAAATACCTTCTTTATACAGGATGAAAGGTTTATTTGAGGGTGTGTTTTGTTTTTTTTTCATTAGGTTGTTCTGGAATATTTATTTATGTACCTGTAAAGGAATGAAAAATTATATTAGAAACATGAATCTGTAATATTCAAGTTTTCATTAAACTAAAAAGATGAAGGAACATGGTAAACATCTCGGATATTCTTATGTACCTGTTAGAAAGCAGTAGTGCCATATAAAGCAAAAGGGGATCATTTGATTAGAATTGTGACAAATAGCTGGAAAATTTGTTGGGACATTATTATAATGATGCAGAAAATAGTGAAAAGTGAGGGATACATTTTTTTAAGCTATCTCATATTTGCTCGGCAGTTATTTCACATTTCAAGAGGTAAATGGAATCCATTCAATACTAGATATCTGTATTAATTTGTTTAATTTGGCATGACTCCTTGAGGAACAAAAAATGGTTTGGGGACACAAAGATTTGAATGGCTTAAGAAATGAAAAAAGGCAGCAGTTTTTGTCAGAGTTCACTTTTTTTATTCTTTCTGGGATCATGGTTGTCTCTAAAGTTAAAAATTAATACTGGTCTCAGTATGTTTCCTGCTGTGGTGACATGAGACTGCTGGATGTCTGGGATTTGATGTATCTGGTATATATCTGCTGTCTGATGGCAGTTTTGCTTAGCTCACTGTCATACTTAACTGTGGAATGTTGTACATAGTTTATACTTCTTTAAATAAATTTAGTGTTACTTAAGGCTGATGTTTCTCAAGGCTTACTTTTTTGGCTATACACAAGGATTGCTCTCTAGTTAGACTTTTAACAGTGAAACTTCAGGATTCCATGGCAGAAGAATTTCTCTGAAAGTACAAAACGTGTCTTGGAGTTACGCACAGAATCCCAATATCCATAAGTAGATTTATTGAGGTTGCAAGGAAAGCTATGAAAACATGAACTTGTTATGAAAGAATAGTGTGGAGTTTTTTTCATCTGTGGACATCTTAAAGGAATAGGTCTAACAGGCTGAGACAGCTAGATTAATTCAGCAGAAATAACTCATTCTGTTTCTGTCCAGTCAGGAAGAATCTCATGTCTGTTTCTGATCATCAGCTGTCCGACCTGTCAAAATTGCTGGTTTGCATCCGTGGAAGCATATAACATATTGTCAATAGAGAATTCTGTTTTAAATGAGTATTTTAGAGCTGAGTAAACTAGATTTAAGTAATAATACAGAGTTAATTGGGTTATGTTCACACTCAAGAAGTTCTTTTTTGCAGACTCATTTTATTTCTGCTGGTGCCTCTATGATAATGTATTTAAGAAAGAGTGAAGGCTCAGCTGTTGTCAGGGTGGGAGAAACAACCCTGCAGACAGTGAGGTCAGAGAAGAGGGTAGGGAGGTGCTGTGGGCTTCAGAGCAGAGAGTCCCCTGCAGCCCATGGAGAGGACTATGGGGAAGCAGGTAGAACCTGCAGCTTGAGGAGGACCATGTCAGAACAGATATCCACACTGCAGCCATGGAGGACTCCACACTGGAGCCAGGTGGACATGCCCCAAAGGAGTCTGGAGCCCATGGAGAGCATACGGTAGAGCATGCTCCTGGCAGCAATTGCAGCCTGCAGAAAGGAGCCTGTTTTCTGGCAGGAACTGTGGGCCTGTGGAGTGGTCTTTTCCTGAAGGACTGTGCCTTGTGGAAAAGACACACACTAGAAAACTTTGTGAAGAGCTGTAGCTGTGGGAAGGACGCAGACTGGTGTGCAGGTCATGAAGGCCTGTAGCCTGTGCAGAGATAAAACGTGAGAAGGAGAGGCAGACACAAACTGTTATGAACTGAGAACAGCTACTGTTCCTTATCGTCCTTGCAGCATTTGGGGTGGGGGAGGAGGTAAAAGAGTGAGGAATGAAGGAGTAAAATTGAAGCCTGGGAAGAAAGGGTGGTAAGGTCATTTTAGTTTTGCCTTTCTCATCATGCAAATCTATTTTTATTGGCAATAAATGAAAAGAATTTTCTCCAAGTTGAGTCTGGCTTGCCTGTGGCAGTAACTGGTAAGTGATCTCCCTGTCTTTATCTGGACCCACAAGTTTTTCCATCTCGTTTTCTTCCCTGCCCTGTACAGGAGGGGGAGTGAGAGAGTGACTGTGTGGGGGTTGGTAGCCAGCCAAGGTCAACCTACCACAGTGTGTTACACAAAGCAGGTAATCCCAAGAACCTCCCTAGTAGAACTGTGATTGTAATTTAGTGGTACAGAGAAAAGAAAGAAACATATTTGTTAATTAAGGTTGGGTAAGGGTTAGGTTGTAAGTGCATGAGCTGGAAATGGATGGGATGTGGAGAGGACCTTGGTGCTGTAGTTAATCAGGGTCATTCACCTGCCAAAATGCTGCAGCTGTGATATACTCATGCACAACTAGAATACTGTAGGAAGACTATTGTCTACAGTTTAAGGAAGTCTGGTGTAAATGTAAAAGAAAGGCATCATCTTGACATCTCGGTCACCTATGTTCAGGAAACGGGTGTTCAAGTGAGAATGGTGCAGAAAAGGTGGTTGCAGATGGAGTGCAGAGGGTTGAATCTCATGAGAGAAAACTCAGTGGGCTACATTAGCCTAGCAAAATGAAGTGTAAAGGGCAGGTAACAATATTCTCTACAAATACATCAAGGTGCTAAATACATAAGCAATTACTGTTTATGGGTATCAGAACAATGTTGTCACAAAAGTAAACTTTCCGTTTTACTTGCCGTGAGTAAATTTAAACAAGAAATTAGAAGGTTAATTTTGATTTATTAGCACAGTTAATCTGGGAAAAGCTGTAAGGCAATCGGTGGCTTGGGAAGAAAAGAGTATATGAGGTGGAAAACTCAACTTTTGAAAAGGGGCTTAATAATTTGTTTAAAGAAACATTCAGTAGGAGAAGACTGGACTTGACATGTGCGTTCTGTTTAAGTTCTACATTCCCTCAAGACCAAAATATACCTTCTGATAAAACATGTAAAGTTACTTTAAAGTTTTCTAAATAAATCAAGTGCTACAAGTGAGTATAAGGATTTGGTTTACTACAGTGATGGTATCAAATCAGTTAAAATTTTTAAGTACAACACATGTAGCTGAAATGGTGAGGAGTCCATTCCTCGCTGAGTTTACAAGTTTGTACTCTTGTTAAACACTTTGCATTGTGTTAAAATGAGTGATGACTGGAATTCAGAGCTTTATTTACAGCATTCAGATGCCTTGAGTAATGGTGATAGGTGATTAATTGAAATGTGGGAGTTTACCTTTCCTCCTAAGGTGCCCTCTGCTATTTGAAAGTTGAGCTATGTGAGCCAGACAAGAAAGAATGGAATACTACTGATTACATTGTAACAGTAAATGTATATTAGATTATGATGGAATTTGAGAGAATTGGAGGATGTGTATTTTGTTCTCAAAATCCATTTTTACTTGTTTAAAACATCTAGCTTTTTTTTCTTCTTTTAAGACTGTGAGCCAGAAGAGCTAACTGACTGGTCTATGGATGAGAAATGTTCCTTTTGTAATTTACACAAAGAAACAGTCAGTGTAAGTATGAATATGATATTCAAGCATGACTCCCCAACACCCAAGTTTTTGTATGAAAGTAGGAATTGAATTTTGCAAATAAGTTAATACTGCATTTTGACTCAAGGTAGTTTGGCTGTGAGAAGGAGTGAGGTGGTTTGGCTCTATAGTGAATATCTTTTTAGTGACTCTTTTACTAAATAGCTCAATAATTTAATTGTATATTGTACTACCAGTAGACTAACTTCTGAAAGATGTTATCTTTGTGTATCTTCTAGGATCGTGCATCAGTTATCGGTTCTTCACAGTCAACACCTACAGAGGAACTGTCATCTCAGGGCCAGTCCAACACTGATAAGATTGAATGCCAAGCAGAAAACTATCTAAATGCACTCTTTCGAAAGAAAGGTAATAAGCATGTCTTTTGTATTAAGAGATATGACATGAATCTAGAAGAATCAAATTATTCAAGGTTGATTTTAAGTAGTTTTCATTTATCTACTGAATGCCATTTCTCTTTTTTTTCCTTTGATTTTCCTTAATCTTTTTCTCTGCTTACTTGAGTCACTGAGTGAAGCACTACTCTTCCTATTTGGCATTGCTGTTAGTCCTATCACATTGTATGTTCTATTCTTGAGTCCCTGTTTTTCATATTTTATTGTTTGTTTGTTTTTTTAACCATGACTTGCTACTTTGTTTTTATGCCAAGTTCAGGTGCCAATCTCTGGAATTTTAAGCATTTAAACATTTCCTGTTCCTGAACTTTGACTTTTAGTTTTCAGCAGAAAGACTGTTTTTAGGTAAGAGAATGTGTTTTACAGATTAGAAAATGGGATTTGGGATCTTCTCATACTAAACCTGATACTTTGGATACATCCAAGTCAGAGGCTGAAACTTTTTGTCAAAATATGTAGTATTTAGTAGCTCTTTAATTCTTTGACTATCCTTGTTTTTTGGCATTCAGCAAGTTATAGCAGTACATGAATGATTGACAAGTCAGCTTGGTTCATGTAAGTTACTTAGCTAGTTACTGTCACCAGCAGCAGAAATACTCATTTTCTTCCTTAAATTTCTGTGAATGTAGCTCTACCCGGTAACTACAATTTTCACAGGCTTTTCTTAGGTTTAGTAGATGTACTTGGATGTCAAAATAGCTGAGTATGACTAGGGTGACAGCCTTTTCTTGCTCCAACAAAGAATTAGTGTGAGACACGTTCTCTTCCTTCACGTAGGTGGGAGAACAACCCAAAGCTAATTTTCTCTCTTTTACCTTGCTGTGGCAGGAAGAGATTACTGTGCCTTTGAACCTGGGGTGTATGGAATATTTTTCTGTACAGGGCGTCTGTCGAGCCGAAGTTTTGCTTTAGGCTTTAAAGATCTTTAGGTGGAGTGCAACAGCATTTTGAGCCCATCTTTATTCCTTGGCTTTCTTTAAAACTATTTTCCCTTTAAAATAAAATATCCAATGAAGTTGTCACCTCATTATTTCTGAAAGTCTTGTTATATTTTCATCACAGACCCAGTTGCATAGCATCTCCCTAGGCAAGTATTTTATTTCCTTCAAATTTCTACTTTCTCATATCTGTTCTTGGGCTTGATGTACAGTGTTTTTCAACATTTGCCTGCTTCGTGCTTCTGCTGGAGATGCTGTCTTTTGATACTCCTTGAGAGGAACTTTTTATCATGGGAGAAGTGAAACTTTGCATGACCTTACTGGAGGGAATGACTTCTGTGAAGTTTTTTCACAGAGAGCACTTGGCTTTTAGCATCTCCCTTAGGTTTTTTGATCTGCCAGATCAGTAATGCTAGGTTAAAAAGGTTTTGTCTATTGAAAAACAAAACCTAAGTCTTTTCTGATTGTTTTTGTGATTCTCTGAAGAACTTGTGTATTCTTAGGTAAAAGGTACTTTCTGCAGAGTTTTCTAAGAATGTTGTTTCAGTTCAGATTCCAGTCTCAAGTTGTTCAAATGATTGGAACTGAAAAGGAAGAAAAACTGTCTATCTACAAAGGGAATGTGAAAACAATTTATGAGGTATTTAAGTAATTGTCTAGGCTTTATAGGAGGAAGATGAAGAGTTTTGTTAGAAAATCCCATGTCGCTTTCTGAGTTTTTGTAAGTTTTTCAGATCAGTTATGAACTTAGGGAAAAACTGTCAAAAAATTTCAAGCGGTTGTTTAGCTAAGGACCAGCTTTTATACCTGGTACTAAAACATAAACACACACCTTTCCTCCCCCTCTCCCTTCCCCAAGAAAGTAGAATTCTTGTTTGGCTGTGTTTAAAATGAAAGTAACACTTGTTTCCCTTGTTTTAATTGCAAACTCCTTGAAATCATATACTGTCTCTTACTATTGTAACTAGCACGGCTTCATTTGGGGCCTCTGTGAACAACTTCTAAGATGAGTGAGCAAATCTGAGAGTTTCTTTCGTTGGTCTTGTTATCCTTTTATTTTAGAACAAGTTAGTGTGTGGCTGGGTTTTTCAGTTTTCAGGCTTGGTTTTGGGTGAGGGTTGTGGGGTTTTTTGGCATCAGGAAATTAGTTTGGAAGAGCTCAAAACACGCAACCACGTTACATCATTGTCCACAGTGTACAATCTTCAGGCATTCGTACAATGAGGAATTGTTTGCAGAATTTTGGACAAAGATGATTCCTCTTTCCTTTTAAGAGGATGATAGAATTACTGCCAAGATGGGTAAACTAAACTTCCTATTAGGAACCTATCTTAGCTATGTTTTGTAGATAGAGATCTGTAGACAAGTCCTGCCCTCATCAGACACCTCAGTTAAAGCTCAAGTAATTTTTTTATAAAACTTTGATTGTTTCCATTAAACAATATATGTGAAACCCAGGTACTTTTTTTTCCTAAGTGTGACATCTCTCTTTACCCATTCTGTATTGAAAGCAGAGTAGACTGTGAGACTTTTCCACTTAATAACATTAAATTCCACCCATTTTTCTTTGTCAGAGAAACAGTTACAAGGAAAAAACACGATGTGCTTTAAAAATATATATATATTAGTCCTTTTTTTTCCCCCTATGAACATTATAGAATGTTGTATATGTGATCATCATTACATGGCAGAACTGCAGTTGTTAAGAGCTTGATCAGACATTTTGGTCATGTATGTTCTTCGAAGCTTTTTTCCAAGCAATATTAATGTGACCTTTTAAAACAAAAATTAAGGGGGCGGAGGGGAAGAAAAAGAAAAGGTCATTTAAATACGTTGAGGGTTGTGAATCAGGTTCTATCTTCAGGACATGATCCACCAGGAGAAGATAGAAACCTGAAAAACTTTTGCAGAAATTAAGGAATTGAAACACAAAATTGGAGAAAATGGTCAGGATGACTTAAATCTTTCCAGATTCTCTGGGCAACTCTGTTGAATATGTTCAGTGGCATATTTTCCATACCAAAATAATTTCCCTGTAGGCTTTTTGAAGTTCTTCCTTGTTTCTAGGTATCTGTCTTGTATTCTAAAATATTTCCATTCATAACTAAGGCTTTTTTACAACATACCACATACTTGCATTTAACTCTGAGTTCTCCTGTTCATTGCTTACTTACATCTCAGATACACAGAGATGTCACAAGCTGGTTATGCTTCTTGGACAGCATATGTGTAATTTGGCAAACCTATGAAAATGTAATCTTGCACACATAGTCTCAGACTACAATGAAGTGTTTCTTTCTGAGGTGTAGTTTTGAGATGTATTCACTACTTGATCCATTAACTGCAGTTCCTTTTTTAGTTAATTTTAAGAAAACCTTTCCAATTCTGAAAGGTTTTCTGTACGAACTCATTGTGCAGTCAATTTGTATGACAGCCTTGCTATCCCTTTCCATCAAGTTCATCAGGAGAGAATGTTTACCAGGATTTCAGCTGCTTTCTTAAGGAAGTAAAACATACTTTTTTTGTGTCGACTGCCTGCCTGCCAGTGTTTCTGTCTTCAAAGACCCCTGAATTTCTTGGTCATTTTCCACTGTGTTTAAGAAAAACCTTAGCGATATGACTGTGTATAGAGTAATGAAAATGACCAGCTGAGAAGAGGAAGGAAAAATGTTGAATGTTGAACAGAAGACTAGAGTGAACTTGGCCCTTATTCCTTCTGTTTGTGACCAGCTACTTTTTATTCCTGATCCTTAAAGACTGTTCTGCTGGGTTTGAGATAGTATGTATGTACATGTATCATCCATGGAGTAAATACACATGCCTCATGTTTTAAATCAACTATGTGAAAAAAGAAGCTTAAACAAATGTAGGCATGTAGATTTAAAGTTTTATAAGTTGCTATATTCATGACTTCTAATAAGGCATCTTAGAATAAAAACTTTTTGGGTCATTCAAAGTATATCTGGTGCCATCTGCTGATAATAATTAAGATATATTTGCTAGTGATACTAAGCTTAGAGACCTAATACCCCAAAATACAGTAAATTGCGTTTACAAATTTCAGGTGACTAACTACAAATTTGCCATGTATAGTGAAACTTTCCTACTGTGAATTTAAAATCACAGGTCTCTACATGCTTTCATTGTATACTTGTACAATAATACAGACAGCCTTTGAATGTAAGGAATTAGACTATACAATACACTTGAAGCGCACGTACTCTAGTCTGGTCATTCAGGAGTCTTATATTGATAAAATATTATATAAAAGTTGCATTTACCCTTAAAACATCTATTTTCTTTCAAAAATGTACAGTGTGAAAAAAGAAAATAGCTTATGAAACCACTAACTTTTTCTTCTTCGAGTATGTAACATCTCATTTCTATTTTATATCATTTGGAGAGCTGTGAGAAATTATTTCTAACTTCAAAATACTCTAAATTACTTCCTTATAATACAAATTATGCATCTACAGCTTCATTCTCTATTAGGAAGCAAAGCGTCATTAATAGGAATAAATCAAAAGCAGCTTTCCAGTACCCCTGAGGAGGTTACTGAGAAGATAGGGTCAAAGTCTTCACAATGGTGCATAGCAGGACAGTGAAAGATAACAAATTGAAACAAGTGGTTCCTTTTTATGTAGGAAAAAGTGAGGGCAGGTAAGCAAGTGGAGCAGGCTACCCAGCAGGGTTGTACAGTCTCTATCCATGGAAGTATTGAGGACCAAACTGGGTAAAACCCAGAACAACATTCTTTGATCTGTCTCAGTGGTCCCTCTTGCTAGTAGGTGGATAAAGCTTCATTGGCATAAAATGCTTGAGCAAATATGCTGCATGATACTCCAAACTACCTATTAGGAAATTTACACTTTGCATGCAAGCATCTGCTTGATCCAGTCCTTTCGGTTTCTCCACTTCCATGAAAACAAAACTCAGTTTGTCTCCTGTCTTACCTGTTTCAGAGTATGTTAAGTATCTCAGTAGCTGCCACCATGTCCTTTGGTGATTCTTTCAGACAATCCAGGCTGACCTAAAAGCTGATTATTCTGTGTCACATTCACACCTTAAATCTTTAAATCCTGGTCCCTTCTTAGTGAAATCTGTTTCATTCATTACCTATGAACTCAAGGATGGGCAGTGGTTAAAACATCAAAAGGGATATTTTTGGTTTGTGTGTGTATGTAGAGTTGAAAGAGAAGGAGCAGTGGGGTAGTGAAATGAGTACTACTACTGCCAAAGAGCTTTTGAGTATAGACAATTGTGCTTGTTTTGTGAAATAAAGTATTGCAGTCATCAATGCAATGAGTAACACAGCTAGCTTTAAGTGAGTTTCTTAATTTCATTGTTATTTATGCTAAGTATTGTTATTTATACGTAGTTAATTATGCGTTATTTTGTTGATCTTTCTGGTACTTTTTATATTAGGATCCTTTTCAGTGATTAACAAATGTAGTTTCAGCTGTGCTTGTCATAAGATGTTTAACTTTCTTCTAGCTGACAGATAACATTAAAATAAATTCATAAGTATCTTATATTTGATCTTTTTTTTTTTTTTCCTTTTTTTTAAAATGAAATACTTTTGTCCATGGGACTGTTAGATACACAAATGAAAAATAGAGTACCCACAGTTTAGAACAGGAAATAAAGGTTTTCTGACAGGTGTTTTTGTTGGTAGAACTTTGAATATGCCCTGAAAATCCTGTAAGATTTTATAATAAGAATCTACAACTTCATTGTAAAATTCAATTGCTCGTATTGCTGCAATTTGTATGGGATGTTTCAAGTAGCATCATATCAGTTTTGACATTGCAATCCTGATTCTACAAAGGGATTGTAATCTAATACGTAGGTGAAACAAATTTTGACCTTTTAAGATCAGCTCTTCAGAAGTACAAATGTTCTGTTATGAAAGGGACTAATAGTACTGCAATTGAATTATTTTTGTTATAGTTGTTCTTTAATAAAGTGACTTCTTTATGTATTAATTCGTAGCTTTGTTTAACTTTTACTGTTTGTATTCAAAATTAGTTTCAGAACTGAACATGTACAGTCTGCAAATGAAAATACAACTTGCTTGCCAGCAATAAATAGAGATTCTGACTCCCATATTTGTGTTATAGATCTACCCGTGTAGTTTTACTTGCACGCTATGACAGAGGAACGAGGTGAAAATTACTGATGCGTGCTAAACATATTCTTCAAAGTGGCCTCGAGTTAGAAATGCTCATAAGAAAAACTTACATACCTCTGAATTAATGTGTTCGTTACACATGTGCTTGTTACACACATTTATTTGGCTTATGGAAAGTATTTATTTAAAGAAAAGTAATGAAGTTTCATTTTTTTAATGCATCTGTTGCCTGTGTTGTTGTTGTGTTTTATTCCTAGATCTTCCTCAGAACTGTGATCCTAACATTCCCCTAGTTGCTCAGGAATTAATGAAAAAAATGATCCGTCAGTTTGCGATTGAGTATATTTCAAAAAGTAGCAAAATTCAAGAGAACAGAAATGGTTCATCGTTTGAACCAAGTCTGATATGTAAAAGTATCCAAATGAACCAAACGGAAAACTCCCTTCAGGAAGAACAGGATAGCCCTCTAGACCTCACTGTGAATCGAACTCAAGAACAGAATACTCAGCAAGGTAAATGTCTATAGCTGCTTATTTGTGTTTTGCTGTCATTTATTGCCTTTTGAAGTCTTATTCATTTGAAAAATTTGTCTGTCTCAAATATCTTTGTTTCATTTTTCCAATGTAGTAATCAGTGTATAGGAAAAAGAATTATCCTAGGTGATTAAAATAAGGTTGAAAGAAAATCGGCATTGTATCAACTTAACATTTAAAGAAAAAGAATGTATTTTCCTTCAAGCACCAGGAAAAAATGTTGTAAGAGAACTGGTGGGGAGAAACCACCAAAAAAACCCCCACCGACCAAAACCCCACATGCATTCAAGAAATATTTTTCCTATTGTGTGTGAGCAGAAAAATATTTTCATTTCTGAGTGCCTGAGTTAAATAAATGGTATTGGAATTTCTCATATACTGAATTTCTTTCATATACTGAATCTAAGTCAGCTCACCTGTGGCTGTCAGAGGTAACAGTGGTTCAAAATCCTGTTGAAGTAAATGGTTCTTAAGAAGCTTCCTGAGAAAAGAGAGGAGGATACTGGAATTTCAGAGAGCAAAGGTCGTTGTGTCTGTGTTGGCCCTTGGACACCTGGATTCTTTAAATACAGAGTGGTTAGAATGATGCAAATAGGAGATTTGTTTGGGAGGAAATTTCCATATTTCATGCCTTAATCATTATAGATTAGAGCAACTTTCTTAATTCAGAGTAAAGCTAGAAAAAGTCTGTCTTGCTATCCTTTACAAAATGGAAATAATTTGCCTCAAGGAGTATTGCTACCCAAAACTGATAACAGTATATTCACAAGAATGTTGTGGACTTTGAACTTGATTTGGATTAGCAACAATTTTCAGGAAGAGGTGTGACTTCATGTGCAACTGAAAACAGTAGCAAAAGCAGCTTTTGTCTTTTGCAGATACAAGAGTCCATGTTAATTCAATAATACTGCAGACCAAAGGGAAAAGTTTACCTATACATCATGTGCCATACTAAAGAAGTTAAAAGAAGGTAGAACTGCAGATTTTAGTTTTTGAGAAAAACATACCTTGGTAAGGATGAAAGCAGATTTCATATGTGTGTGCTCAATGATGCAGTCTTCAATAAGATGGCACATGCTTTTGGGGGCAGTACTCTAACATGGATTTACCTTGCTAAACATAACTAGTCTAGATTAAAGTTTAAACATCCTTTCTCTTTGTCATTAAGAAATTGTGGCATTCCTATTTTTATTCTGCATGGTCAGCAGAAACTGGTTCATGCCTGTATTTAGTGAATACCTTGTGCAGACTAAATCCTGAGAAAATATCTGTAGTGCTTTGACATATGTCTGCTATGGATGAATTAGATTTTAGACATTTATAATTGGCCGGGTTGAAGCATGTTTCTTTTGCAAAGGCAATAGGAAGTACTTTCTTGGTATCAGCACTGTAGCCTGTTGCTTACTTCAACAGCTGGTTACAAAGAGTAATAAGTTTAAAGTGTCCATGAGGGAGCAGAGTCCCCAGAGACGGGTTCTGATCCATGCTGAGCCCAAATAAATCTTTGAGGAATGAAGGGGAAGGCAAAGGGTGAACAGGGCAGGGGTGGGAGGAGAGTTCTGCTGCCACCCTCAGCTATTTGAAAATACATTCATCTTCTGTCCAAGAAAAAGTATAAAGAGATTGGAGTATTTAAATCTTTTTTTATATGATCTGCATTTTTCTTGTAACAAGACTAAGCAGCAAGTTTAGAATTCTGCGACTGCAGCATGATATCTGAGGCCAAAATATTTGCTTAGCATACATAGTTTACTATGTGAAACTCATATGCTGTGTAAGATACTGTAGATTCTCAGACCTTGCACTGCCGTGTTTGCTGGAATGCTTTGCAGATGTTAAAGATAGTAGTCTTGCTCTGAAGTTCAGAGCTACTGAAACGAGAAGTGTTGAAACGTAGCTGCAGCTGGAGAAAGGCTTTAAGCCGTCTTCTCTACCAGTGATGGTGTACTGTGGTTAGCATTTCCCATCAACATAAAATAGCAGTTTTGAGCTATCTTAGCTTTCCACTGTAGTGGCAGCAACACAAGCAAATAAGATCAAGATGGAAAAAGTCAGCCTGCTCTTTTTATTTGCATTGTGTTCCAGGTGTAATGATTCAGGAAGAGTTCTTTCAATTAGCTATTGTCAGGGACTATGTATTACTATTTTACCTACTCTTCACTTCTGTCATTTTCCTGAAGAAAGCTTGGATATATTGACATGTTAACATGCTTACGGTAGGGAATCATGAAACTTTTCAATTGGATCATTTTTAAAAGTACATTGTTCTGTGCCTAACATAGTATACTTCAGTCTGGAGACTCATAAGTTATACCATATTACCTTCTTAGTAGTGTCTTTCAATTGTTATGCAGCTCTTGTTATTATTTGCTATTTGTAATTCCTGTTACAATTTCCAAATGAAGTGGCAGTAACAAAGTAGAAAGTTCAAATTTGTACGTTTCTCTGATGGACTGTCAAAGGTAAAGTCTGTCTTAATTCAAATTTTGTGAAGCAGATAATGACCTAAATTCGTTTTCTGTTTAGGCGGGTGCTTTGTATTTATAGTAGTCATCTTTTAAAATTTATGATCTAACTAATAAAGCAGTCTTGTTCCTTCACTATGGCAATGATTCTTGGGCTTAAGTTGAGAGGAAGGAGTAAGTTTTATTTTCCAGATCACTAGAGGGATTTTGGGGTTCTTTTTGCACTGAGCAGATCCAAGCTAGATGCTAACTCGGTACTGAAAAAAGATTCTGCCACTGAAGATGTCTGGATGATCTTATCTTCATTTAAGAAACCTTTTTGCTTTCCTCCAGTATCTGCTGGCCATCTCTGAAGTACTCCCAAAATATTCAGGTCTGACACTTCAAGATTTGATACCCCTGTGTACTGGGTTTACTTGGCCAGGTTTTGGTAGCTGAGGAGGGCTGCAGGGTGGCACCTGTGGAAGAGGTCAGCTCTGCAACAGACGTACCACAGGCCAAAGTGAAGCACATCCATGAGGTTTGTGGTGCCTCTGAAAACATAATTTAAGAAAGATCAAAAATGCTGGAAGACAGAGGAGTGAGAAACAGCAAGGGGAACAACAAGGTCAGAGAAGGAGGGGGAGGAGGTGCTTCAGGCACCAGAGCTGGTATTTCCCTGCAGCACATGGAGAGGACCATGGTGGAGCAGGTGTTCTGTTGCAGCTCATGGAAGAGACCCCATTGGCTATTCCAGTTATTCACACTGCAGCCTGTGGAAGACCCCACATTGGAGCAGCTGGGTATTTCCTGAAGGCACTGCAGTCTGTGGAGAACCCACAATGGAGCAGGGGAAAAGCATGGGGAGGAAGGACCTGTAGAAAGGATTGTATTGACTGTTAACCCCCATTCCCAATCTTGCCTGTGCTCCCTGGGCACAGGAGAGAGAGGTAGAAGGGTTGGGAGTGAAGCTGAGCCTGGGAAAAGGTAGGGTAGGGAGGTGCTTTAGTTTTTGTCTTTCTCATTATCCAAATCTATTATAATTTGTAATAAATCAATTTTCCCGAAGTCTTTTTTGCCTGTGATGGTAATTGGCACATGATCTCCCTATGTTTATCTTGATGACATTTTGCATCTTATTTCTCTCTGCCTGTTGAGGAGAGGAAGTGAGAGAGGGACTGTATAGGGTCTCGCTACTGGCCAGGGTCAACCCTTTGCACCCCTGGTACTGAATCATTCAGTACTGAGTATTTAAGCACTGGCATCCAAGTATGTCTGGCTGGTGCCTGACTGATAGCAGATGCCCAGATTATGCTCTACTTTCTTGTACATGTGGAAGTGTGGTAACTGTGCAGGGTGCTTTTATTCCTGTGCACCTTGCTGCTAAGTAATCAGGCTGTTTCTTCATGGTCAGTCAGTTGGGGGCAACTGTCTCAGATACCCATATCTTGCTCTTTTTTCCTAATCCATGTAATTCTTAAGACTGTCCAGGCCTTGAAAAGAATACTCTGTATAGTGAAAAGAAGTGTTTTGTCTACACTGCATCTAGCAAAAAATAGGGTGGTGGTGTGTATTTTTGCAATATTATTTGTCCTCAAAACTAAGACAATGAAAAAGGCGCATCCTTGTAGAATAAAATATTGAGTGAAGAGGAGTCTTGGAATATCCTGCAGCAACTTATTATTTTCTTGTGCAGTAATGATGTGAGCTCTTTGGGGAGTGTTCCCAGCAGCAGACTTTGGTGCAGAGGCCTCTTCTCCTTGATAGATACAGAAGAGTTGGTCACTCTCACGCTTCTAAGCAAAGTGACCTACAAGAGGCAGAAGTATAAGCAGCACAAACAACTTATCTGGTAGTTTATCTTGTTGCAGTATCTTCTAGGAACAATGATAGTTTGTAAACATAGCAGAAGAATTCAAGAGAATTTGCAAAGATTTCCATGTTTCATTGATTGATCATAGGTTGAAGACATCAGAAGGTAGCTGGCAATGTGCAACAAAGCTGTAGCTTTGTCATTGCTGTTGGCTGTTACTGAAGAAGTGGGAAAAGTAAGGATAATCCAAGCCGAAAATCCTGTTTAAATGATTTAAAATAGCATTTTATTATCCAGTTCAACAATGTTCATTTGATTTCACCAAAATTTGTAGCAAAATAATGATTTCTGAATAATGGACCAGAATTTGGAAACAATTCTTAAATTTTTGAATAGTGGTTTCATATTGTGAAAATCCACACTGAAGTTAGTGTGACAACTGGGCTCACAGCATGTACGCCCTCTTGTTTGCTATGTTCAGGGCTACTGAAAGAATCCCAAACATTACCAAAAATAACCTTTTATTTTCTTCATATATTGTTCTTACCACCTGTACTGGGGAAAATACTGTGCTTTTTGAAGGTACACGTGCTATATTCCCAAAGACAAATTGTATGAGCTGTAAATATATTCAAGAAACGGTTTAATGCCTCTCCATGACAAGGTCACCCTAAAAATGTATGGGTTTGGAGGTCGGTAGGTATTTATTTCTTCCTTGGTGGCTAACAGCCATGCTCCTCGTCAGACACTGTCTTGTTTGCTTCTCTCTCAGTGGCACAGGGGAGAAAATGGGAAGAACAGGAGGGAGAGCTCATGAGTTAAGAACATTGTCGTTGCTTACCGCTTTTCATCATGGTCAGAACAGGCTCTGCTTGGGGAAAATTAACTTAAATTATTGTCTGTTAAAGTAATTATTACTTCCGGTAGTGGAAACAGAAAGACACAGTACAACACCATCTTTCCTCCCCCTTTCCCAGGCTCAGCTTCACTCCAGACACCACCACCACCCCTGTGGTGCAAGGGGAATGGGTGTGGAGTGCCTGCAGTCTGTACCAAACAGTTTGTGTTCTGCCATTTTCCTCTGCCGCTGGGCTTCCCTCTGCTGTTTTCTCGTTCTTTTTGTTCCCTTTTTCTGTCTCCATTCAGTACTTTTTGCCTTTTCTTAAATATGATTTCACAGAGGTTCTGCCCAAATGGCTGCAGGGCTCAGTTGTGTCCAGCAGTGGGTCCATGGGAACCAGCTAGAACTGTCTGTGCTCAGCACAGGGCAGCCTGTGGCTTCTCCTCACAGTTGCTGACAAGACCTTGCCATGGACACCTAATGCATAGCCGTATACTTTTCATCTATCAGTTTTTCATTTTACAGAATAGCATGTCAGGTCAGCAAAGAGGGGCTAGTCAAAGCAGTAGTTAAGAATTAATTGTCATCCTTACTGGCAGTTCTCAGAAAACATTGTCTTCATATGCAGCAGCACAGAAAATAACCAGCAGAAGGCAAGACATCATCAGGAAAGGTAGTGAAGACAAGACAGCATCACTTTGTTGCTATGAAAAACCTGAATGAGGTTTACCACAGTATGATGGATAAGGTAGAGGCAGAGTTATTTACTAAATTGCACAATATTAGAACTAGGCAGGGCTTGCTTGGAAGAGAAAAGCATGTAAGGGGCAGCTTTTGCACAGTAGTTTGGGAATATTGGAACTGCTGTGACAGGAAATTGTGGAAATGGGCAGTGTCACTGGGGTCAAAAAAGACCATAGACAACTTCCCAGCTATCTGAACTAAGGCCAGAAACTAAAAATGGAGTAGACAGGGATGTATCTCTCAGATCCCTAATTCAGTGATTACTGGAGAGCTACTGGGAGAGCAGGAGAGGAATGAGCTACAGGTGGTGGCCAAGCTGGTATGCTCTCCCTAGGAGCGGCATTTTCTCATGCCTGGAGACTGAGGGGACTGGGTAGAGTAGGTTGTCTGACTTAGTAAGGCAGTTCATAATAGCTAGTAAGGGGTTTCCTGAAACCCAGGAAAAAGAAGTTTGCTAGAAACACCAAATGTAGGAGTTAGGAATTCAGGAGTGACCCATACAGTTTCTGTTAGTTATTTTTCCACCTTCTGGTTATTTTGAAGATGACCTTTGATCACGCTTAATTATTTTTTGATATTGCTGGACCTGATGATCTTATGCTGAGAAGCAAAGACGAGAAGTCGAGCCATTTCTTTGAAGTTCAAAATCATTTAATTTGCACAGAAGTAACTTCATTAGAAGATCAGGAGCAGCAGACCTGGAAAATTAGTATCTTTTTTTATATTATCCAGTTATATAGTATTGTTTATGAAGGCTGTTGTCTCGGTAGTCATGGCTTCAGCTAAAGAGTAGATGTAATTCCATGTGTTTTATTAAAACTACCTTGGAGTGGTTTTGGTTGGTTGGTGGTTGGTTGGTTTTTAACCCTGATATAATTCAGTTCCTGCCCAGAATTCTTGCCTAAATGCCCATTTTGAGTGATATGATAGAAAGTTCTGGCTTGGTTTAAAAAAGACCTTATTCCTACCTTGCAAGTTAGCAAGTTTTCAAGGTTCATTGTCAACCTATAGGATACCTCTTTGCAAACCTTTTGGTCTTATACGTAATGAAAAGTGAACATCTCTACTCTGTCTGTGTGTGCATATATAAATATATACACATTCATTTCATTAGGTAGCATTTCATTAGGTAGCATTTCATTATGTCTTAAAGATTTATAACAACTGGTGGCCCTTTCCTACCAGTTGTAGGTGTCCTTTGTTATATAATAATAATTGATACTACTAAAAGCAGGAAGATGTACTAAACCAGGAACTACTGTGTATTTTTATTGAGTCTTTTTGTCTTATCATCCCTTCCTGTATCAGTTTTGGGGGGTTTGTGTTGCTTGGTTGGGGGTTGGGGAAGGGTGTTGCTGATTTGGGTTTTTTATAATTTGGGGGTGGGGTGTAATTTGAGTGAAATTACTGAATAGAATCCTGGTGTGTGGTGACTTTATCTGGTATTTTGTATGTATATCAAATTTCTTGCATGGTTCTCTTTCACTCCTGCTGAGGCTCAGCTTCCCATGAAGCATTGTCTTTAGGGAGATGTCATATTCTCAATGCTTACATATGCTGCGTTGGAGGAACGAACTGTCTTGAACCTGAAATGACTCTTCAGTTCTGCTTACCCTTTAGAGGCACAAAATGTATCTAATTTTTGTTCTAGAAGCTTGTATTTTCAGTACTGTCTTCTTTAGTAATTAGTAATTATTCAACTTAGTAATTTTTCAACTTATTGGTGGCCTTGTCTTGGCAAAGCCAGTTCTGAAAGATTGGAAATGAAAATGATTCTTGTTGGATTTGTTACAGAGTCTTGCAAGAGTTTTGGGGTTTTCTTTGTTGGGTGGTGTTTGGTTTTCTGGGTTGTGGGCTTTTCTTTTCCCAGAAAAATCTACTTAGCTTCATTTTAATTTTTTTTTTAATTTTGAATACGGGGAGTGTTAGGTCTTGATGAGTTGTGAACTTTGAAATTGTTTTTTGTCCAGTGACTTGCTCTAGTTATCTCTTCTAAATTTATTTTATCATAGTGCCTATGACTATCAACTGAAGATGGAAAAACTGTTGTGAAAGGGAACACACGCAAGCACTTAAGAAAGGGAGATGTACTTTGTGTGACTGACACAACACAACAGATTAAATCTGTCTGTTATGCAGGACTTGAGTGTATTGCGAGCTTAGGTATTTGTGATATTTTACAGCTGGGTATGCTAGATAGTCCTTGAACATATTTCTGTAGGGCTTTTAATTGGCTTTTCCTTCTGTAATATCGGAAAGGTTGATTAACTAGTTCTTCCTTTATGGTTAAGGAAGACTTTGAAAGGAATATGTTTAGGAGTAAAGGAGCATCTTTGACAAGTGGCATATTTATAAGTATTTTCTCACTCAGGCTGAGTAATGCTACTTTTTCTCTCTGTACCTTTCAGATAATAAAAAATAGTTGGTAGAAAACAGTCAAAAATGAGGAAACCCAGTAAAAATTAAATAGCTGGATTTGATTACTACACAAAACTATATGCAGCATTGGTATAAAAGACAGTTACCCTAACAATTTTTCTGACTACTTTATTTGAGTGTTGGTATTTGGACTATTCAGCTAATGCTTCATGTCTGCTGTGGGAAAATATATACAGTTGATGGAAGTTTTAAAAATCATATGCAGTAACACGAAAATGACACCAATGTAAAAATGGGTAGCATAAGGTTGCTTGTAGAACTGAATGTTGAGCTACATGTTGAAACACAAAACTGGATTTGCAGAGGTCAGGCATACAAAACAGCCCAAGTTTAAAACAGAAAACCAAGGAAGAAAAGTATGAAATTAAATGTATTTAGGGGATTTATCTTTAATTTAGATGCACTTTTTTTCTTAAAGACAAAAACTTAAACTAGGAGTAATACCTGTGCTAATTAGCTGTTTTAAATTTCAATGTTCTTAAATATTGATTAAAACAAATGGTTTTCTATTTCAGTACTTCATAGACTTCAACAGTCAACTATAAATCTTGAATTCACCATTTGCCAGTGACTTAACAGAGTGGACTCCCACCCCAGTTTAGGTCTTTCCATTTCTCCAGTTTCCTTATTGCGTATATGTGGGGGCGGCAGGGGGAATATGTATGAACAAACTGTTGGAACATTTAATGACATAGGTCTCATGCCCAAAACTCTGTTCTGGGCTTAAGCTCTCTTCCCAGTTAGTGCTGTCTCATCCAGTACCCTGGTCTGGTCTCACAGGTGACCCTGCTCTGAGCAGGGGGTTGATCTAGAGACCTCATGAGATCCCTGTAAGCCTGAATTATCCTGTAAGCCTATGATTTAGTTATTTCAGGTTTAACTTCAGTATCATGCTTGGTTGTTTACAGTATGTAAATATGAATATATGAGTAATAATGCAATATATACATGTACGTGATTTTTAGGGAAACAGTCATGTGTCCCTGTTTAAGAAAGATTCTTCTTTTAAATTTTATTATTTCTGAATAGGATGATTGTACTTTTTCCTTAGTTTTAGAAAGTTTTGTTACAAATTGTGTGTAAAACCATTTGCTGACAGCTGACATTGTTAAAGGGATGTAATTTCACAAGATAAAGTAACTGCTTAAAAAATGGGCCCTAGGTATAAACATTTGCTAACAAGATTTCGGAGATCATCGTTAAACAACTGCTATCACCACTACTCGTTCTTTGCAGGGGATGGAGTGCTAGATCTCTCTACAAAGAAAAGCGCAAGGTTGGAAGAACCAAAATACGACCCATTGTGTTCTGAAAACTCAGTGTCTGGGTAAGCAACATTTAGGAATCTCTTCAGCTTATGTAAAAGACAATCCAGTTTTTTCTCCTCTGAAGTCAGGTTTTGTGTTCATAACATATTTGTATATACTGACACACACATGTGGTTCCTATTTTGCTTTCAAAAGAATTTTTGTCACTCATAAGTGTGTGTCTATGTATATATCATATGTTTCATTTGTCTTTTTCCTTTTTTTCTGTTTAAAGAAAAGTTATCAGAACAATCACCAAACTTTAGTTCATGTTACTAAAAATTACCTGAAAATTTATTACATAACACATTTAAAGTAATAGGCTAGCAGAAGAAGATGTAAATACATTCTTTCACAGTTTACTTAGGAAACTTCGATTTTGGACAAAAATGAGCATGTAAATATTTAGATTTAAAATATTCTTCAACTAACATGAACAAGTTAAATGACTATCTCTAATATGCCTTAATGAGAGAGAGAGTAAGCAAGCGCGTGAGAGAGAGCTCTTAATCATCATACTTATACTTACATCATGGTTCTGACTATGGTGTGTGGTGGCAAATGGTCAAATTTCTTTATTCAACAAAAAACATTGCATCTGCTGAAAGCTACCACAAAACTAGTGAAATGCATTGTTTTGTTGGATTTTGTTACGATCTTGGCATCCTCCCATCCACTAGCCATAGCAGGACCCTTTTTGTCACCTGTATGTCTTACCAAATAACTTACTACAAATAGGACTACAGTAGCAGTATTTCTTGAATGATGTAAAATTGCATTTTATTAATTTGTTTATATGAAGAAGTTTTAAAAGAAAAATGGCTTTGTAATTAGAGAGCTGTAAATAGTGGATAGAAGTCTTTAAAACTGTCTTTTATCTTGCCAAAATGGACTTTTTAGCTACAGCACTTTATCTCGTTGTAGAAGGCCTAGTTTTGCGTAAGTCTGGGATGTTTGTGTGTAGTTATGTACTTATTGCTGCAAATTTTCTATGAGGGGGTTGACTCTTTTATTACTTGTTTAGCGGTAACGTCACGTTTCTACTAACAAAAACTCCTTCAGGATTTGGGTATTTAACGGAACGTTAATTGTATAATTAAAATTATAACAGTGTTGCTCTGCAAGCATGTGAACAAGGGGATATAGCAAGCACATGAGAATATTATCAAATGCTGAGCTAGGATATAAAGTTCTTGGAAGGGCTGCTGTAGAAGCCACCGTATGATTTTTGACACACTGTCCTACCAGAACTGTAACATTTTGCTAGGATAATCATTTAACTACCACATCTCAAAGGCTTAAAAGTATCAGAAGCAGTGATGTTACCGAAGCAAGGAGTATAATAAAGGAGTGGACCCTTCCCTTCCATAGCTGTGTGAGAGTCTCTCATACATCAGTTTACCATCGTTTCATTCCATCCATCCAGGAGACTACACAGACACAGAGAGGACTATGTGGAAAGAAGTGCTGAGTTTGCAGATGGTTTGCTCTCAAAAGCTTTGAAAGACATTCAGTCTGGAGCACTGGACATAAATAAAGCAGGCATACTTTATGGCATACCTCAAAAAACTTTACTTCTCCACTTAGAAGCCTTACCAGCAGGAAAGCCTGCACCTTTTAAAAACAAAACTCGAGATTTCAATGATAGTTATTCATTTAAAGACAGTAAAGAAACTTGTGCAGTCCTACAAAAAGTAGCCTTGTGGGCAAGAGCTCAAGCAGAGCGCACAGAAAAAAGTAAACTCAGTCTACTTGAAACCTCAGAATTAAAATTCCCAACAGCTTCCAGTTACCTCCACCAGTTAACTCTACAGAGAATGGTCACTCAATTTAAAGAAAAAAGTGAAAATCTACAATATGAAACTTCAAGTCCTACTGTACAATTAAAAATTCCTCAGCTAAGAATAAGTTCTGTGTCCAAACCACAGTCTGATACTGCTGGTCTTCTGGATGTTATGTACCACGTTTCTAAAACCTCCTCAGTCTTAGAAGGATCAGCTCTTCAAAAATTGAAAAATATACTCCCCAAACAGAACAAAATTGAATGTTCTGGACCTGTAACTCACTCAAGTGTTGACTCCTACTTTCTGCATGGGGACCTCTCTCCTTTGTGTCTTAATGCTAAGAATGGGACAGTAGATGGAACCTCAGAAAATACAGAAGATAGTTTGGATCGTAAAGATAATAAGCAACCACGAAAAAAACGTGGCCGCTATCGGCAGTATGATCATGAAATAATGGAAGAAGCAATTGCAATGGTAATGAGTGGGAAAATGAGTGTTTCCAAAGCACAAGGAATTTATGGGGTACCTCACAGCACTTTAGAATATAAAGTAAAAGAAAGATCTGGAACACTGAAGACTCCGCCGAAGAAGAAACTCCGATTACCAGATACTGGCTTATTTAATATGACAGATTCAGGGACTGGCAGCTGCAAGAATAGTAGCAAGCCTGTGTAGAATAATTGTTAGCGAATTGTTTTGTGTGTGTGTATGTATGTCCGTATATACACACACCATGTGAGAAATACATATGCTCACTCTGACAGAAGACGTGAAACTATACAGTTCAAAAACCACATACATGCCTTTTGAAAAATAGTTTTATTCAGGGTTTTCACTGTGGACAGAATTATAGAGTTGCTCACTTAATTCTGATAGTGTGTATTTAATATAATCCTTGTATAAATAGGTGAAAAGATTCAGGTTTTATTTAGTAGTCAATAGCATAAAGATGTTTTGGGAAAACAAGTATTTGTCATGTGAAGCATAATTTTTAATTGGTGAAAAACCACTCTACCCATTCAATAATCCATCTTATTATGGAAATATACAACCGAGGCTTAGCAGACTTATACTTCACAGAATACTTGCAATAAATTGTAAGTAACTCAGATTATACAAGTTAAGGGATTTTTTTTTTAAAAAGCTAGTTCCTTACAAGGAAGTGGATTTGTGAAGTATTAGTAGGATATAGTACATTCTGTGAAAGAAAAAAGTTCATCGTTGCTTAAGTATCCAATACAAGTAAGAAAAATATTTCATTACTAAAAATGTGTGTTTAGCAGGCATAAACTGCATTTTTTTATCATTTTAAGAAAATTTTGTTGTTGGTTTAGAAAGAAATTGGTGTTTACAAAGTGTACACTTATGAAATCTGAGAAATTACTGTAGTTATAGAATTATTAAATATGAAATAAGATGGAATACTGAGAGCATAAAATAATTTAAACTTTAACATAATTTTCCTTTTTAGTTTGACAAATAAGGTAACTTGTAAGGTTTAAGAAGAAAGTTGGAATGCAACTTAGAGCATGTTCATAATGTGCACAGAATGAGCTTGAGAATGGTTTGGGTTTGTTTGGGTTTTTTTGTTGAAACGTGCTGGTTAGTTGATGTTATGACTACTTAAAATTTATTTAAGGATTGTGTCACACTCCTTTTGAAAAACCTCACTGTAACTGTAATGTATTTGCTGCTGTGACATTTCAAAACATTTTCAGTTTTTCAAATGAATACCAAGTTACATTATCATTTTGCTAATAACCAAATTTGCAGTTCAGGGTCTTGATAGAAATACAGATATTAAGCGGTAAAGCTGTTTTGAACTTTCAATAATATAAATTCTTTATAAATTTGGTAGTTAGATGTTAGGCAGTTCACTTTAAATACGTAACTTTTAATAGAATTTAAGGGAGACCAATTACCTTCATATTGCAGTTTTTATATGAATTTCAAAGTATTCACATTGGACTTTATATCATACTTAATTTTTTTGTGTACTATCACAAAGTATATGTCTACATATGAAGAATGGGGGCTTGCTTCATACATTCAATACTGAACATCAATGCCCTTTTCCTCTCAAAATGTAATTTTTTTATGTATAATTTGGCATAGAAAAAGACTTTTCTCCAACTTTTATACGTTTAGTACACATGCATACATTTTTTTCCCCCAACAAATTCACATGTGTATAGGTTGATTATATAAATGAAATGGGATGTTAGATACATATGGGCCACATGAGGTAATTTGATTTATAGATAAATTTGCCATTAAAAAAGTGGAGAGCATACTGCAATATTGATGGCAAAATCTAGCCCATATTAACGCTACTAAAAAATGGTAACTTCCCTTTTAAAGCAAAATACTCCATTGAAACTGCACCACCAGTGTCTCAGTTCTTTGGTCTCTCAGATCTATACTGAATCTTCTTCAGTGATTGAAGTTTACTTGCATATTACAGAATGAATCCTTTTTTAAGCAGAACTGTACCTGATAACAAGGAGGTCGTAAAACAGCAGATGTCAGGGTCATCTTTCATTTTAAAAGAATTAAGCCATATTTTGTGAGGGCCAGAAGGATTAATTTGTGAATATATCCCCACAGAAGAATGAGGTTGAAAAACCTTAAATGTTTCAAGATCTGTCTTTATACAGTTTTACTTGCAAAAATCTGGGGCTTCAATACTTTGCCTAGTATTTGTACCATACTGATGTTTTCTACTCCTCAGACAATGTTATAAACTTGAGTCAAAAGTTTATATTGAAGGCAAGTTAGAGTACTCTTTTTATATCATTTAAAAGATGACCTGACCAAAAACTTAACAGGATTCATAAAATCAGGGATCATTTTACTATTGACTTAACAGTACTCAGTAGTTTTGTATGTAATATTATAATTAATTTTCAACATTTTAGTACTTGTATTTATTTTTTGGTCAGAAATAGTATATTAAAATATTTTTTGATAGTTTATAGATGATACTCAACCTGTAAGTGTTTAAAGGAACAGAATTATTTGTTTCTAATTATTAGGTTAACCTTTGACTACACAACTAAGGAAAGGCAGGGAAATATTTAGATTCTCCTATCCCAACCCCTATGTATTCCATTAAATGTCATTTAAAGTACACATTTTGAACTGTTTTATAAATTCAGTTACCAGTCACTACTTAGTAATTGACAATTTCTGAAAATTCCTGTTTCAACAGAATTTTAAATGAAGGCGAAAGCAAGCCCTACATGCTTTCTACTTATTTGAATGTTTCTCAAGTATTTTATATTAAAAAACAGTGCCTCTGTTTTTAGAACTACTGCTCAGTAAAGCTGTTTAAACCATTTCTGGTAGCTAATGACAATTTTATATTAAATTGTATATTAACTTTAGTGAGACTGATTTTTTTAGTTGTTTACAGTACAAATACTTGTATTTGTTTTTTAATTGCAGTATTTCCATTGTCGCAGTAATTTAGTAAAACTCTGTGGCTGCCTTGATTTTTGACAGATTTTTGTTAACAACTGATTTTTAGGCAATTAGTTATATTTATGCATAAATCAATTGCACTATAATTCATGAATTATTTATTACAATATTTTCTAATGAATTCCATGTATTTGTCTTGTGTTGTAAATGTACTGTAATTCTGTTTCTTCTTTGTGTTGTTATATTCCTAAATCTGATTGTATGAATTTAATTGTTTAGTTAACGTGTTTCTACGTTGTAATTTGTAGTAAAGCACTTCAATGCTTTTGCACATAAATTTACAACACTGATGTGTGATTGATTTGCTCATTCAGTAAAAAAAAAGAAAGAAACAAAAACCTGTACACTGACTCCTTTGACTTACTCCTGAGGCACAAGTTCATTAGCAGTAGCATAAGAGCAAGAACTGTATAAATTAAGCATATAATGACTAATTTACTATGTGTATTTTATATACCAGAAATAGTAGCTTTAAAGACAGATAGTTTTTCAGAGCTGATGCATTACTCATAGAATTAGTTCTCTAAATTTCTTCTCATTTATAACAGCTACATCCTTTAGTTTGCAGCTAAAAAATATATTACAGATAACATACAGCTTTTTTGAGGGATTTATTTACTTAGGAAAGTCAGAAAACAAACATTTCTATAAGACAAATTTCTACAGGACAAATTTACTGTTCTATAATAGTTCTATGCTGTTTGTATGAGTACTTAGAAGTGTGTTTTGTTCCCAGTCTGCAAAGAAGTTGCTAGATTAATCTTTCTTGTCTGTGGCTGAGACGACAGAGGATAGAACACCAGGGAAAAGGACATCTTTTGGGAGTTCTTCCCTGATAGTTTTTTGGATTTGTGGAGGAGGCAAAGGTTTACTTTCTTATACATAAAATAATACACTGAAAGGCTAGTACTTAACCTTATCTCTGCCTTTGTGCCAATGTTCTACTCCAGTCAATCGCCACTCCATGGTATTACCCATCCCTGTCCTCCAGCAGGGGAGGTAACATCATTCCATGCTTAAACTTTGTCCTTGTCCTCGGAGATATTGTGCACAAAAGGCACTGGGGGAGCAGTGCATACTGATCCTCCCAATTCCGCAGTTTCCTACCCATGTGTGATTTGTAGAAAGTGTAAGACTGTTCTGTGAAGGAAGTATGCAATTGGGAAAGTGATAGCTCTTCCTTCTAGGGAATTGTTTAAGCCTTTTGTCTTGAGGATAGCCTAAACTACTGTGTGAGGGCACAAATTTAAATGGCTATAGGCAGGAAACTGAAATATAATTCCATCGTTTTATTGAAAAGCTTCTAAAAATTAGTTTAAATATACTGACAGCTCTACAGAGAGACACTTGAAATAAATGGGTTGCTTTAATGCTTTAATTTGTTTGCATAGTAAGCTGTGCTCTGAAATGGTAACAGAGTAAGGGGTTGGTGTGCTTTCATGAACTCGGAAGATCATGTGGAGTGTGGTGCTGTTGCAGTAGAATAGCTGAAGTTGTCTGTCAGCTTTAGAAACTAACACACGCTAAGGGAAAGCAGCTTATAGACTTCAGACTGCTAAGTTAGAAAGAAATTGTATTGGAAGAATGTCCAGTATGTCTGTGATAACCAGGATATTACTTTATACAACAGGTTGATTTCCACATAGCAAATTCAGAGCCATTTTGAGGCCTTTGGAAATTTTGGTTACTGACCTTGAGAAAGTTTTAGGGAAATTTCTTCCACCAGTGAGCATACTATCCATAGCAGTTATGAAACAAGTCCTATTCAATCAAAGCTCTCCAGTGAAACTCCATTAGACATACCTTGTGAGTTTAGAGAGATAGATATCTGCCTGGAGTCTGAAAAGACTGTACAATAGCCATCTTTTTTCCAAATTAATACCTACCTAACAAATTTAGTGAGATTTGCAAGCAAAATATTGAAGACCTAGTGCCATGTTCATTTTATTCTATCTGGCCTTTCAAAACATTATTTAATTGAAGTCACAATGGTGGGAGGGGAATTATTTTTTTATCCATAATTTTGTTACTAGAGTAAGCTTTGTTTTCACAAGTGTAGCAGTACATTTCAACACCTCATGACTCCTGAGGTTGTTGGACCGAGTAGCACTCAGACTCTTCTTAGTGAAGCAGCGTCTCAAAACCAGTTGAAGCCTGACAATGACATGCCCTTGAATGTTGGGTTTACTTTAGCTTGAAAGTGTAGAGGGGTTTTTCCTTTTTAACACTTCAATTATTTAAGTTTAAACATAATTACAATTTCAGCTAGGGCCTTCACAATTATCTGATGCTTTCATGAGTTAGTATCATCTAAATGCTTGATTTTGAATATATACCATTTCATACTATGTATTACAGGAGCAGGAAAAAAACTTGAGGAATTATTAAGTATAGTTAACTAGTTTTAAGCTCTAAACTTTAAAATCCATGTGGGACAATAAAAATACAAATTTCTGTATGTAACTTCCAGTAAGAAACCTTAAGCTGAAGTTCTTATTGATGCCAGTAACATTGGGTATGAGCTAATTAATGAATAGGTAACTTTATAGAAATTTTAAATATGTTTCTTCCTTGATGATACAGCTGTAGACCAAATCAAAATGATTTTTTTTCCAAAGTACAGGCTTAAATGTAAAAAAATTACACAAGATAATAGCAAGGCAAAAAGTTAGTGTCATGTTCAGAGTTTGGTGATATGTTTAAACAATACATACTTTTCTAAAACAGAATTCTAATATTTTCTGCTTATGCAGTTGGTTTCAGTAAAACATTTGAATTAGGTGTTAACTATCTGTTGATAGTTGCTATTCAGCATAAGGATTTTGTATTTAATTGAAAAAATATCTGTATTAATTTCTGCCATGGAAAATTTTCAGCTTTTCAGTATAAATGATTTATTAGGTAAGTAGTGACATTAGTTTTAATAATTTATAAGAAATTCATTAAATAGTTAAGGTAGTATTTTATGAGTGATTTTATTTTGAGTTAATATCTTTGAGAACAACTGCTCAGAAGTCTTTTTTAGGAATAGGCCTACCCTGTATTTGGAATTTAAAGGATATTGAGCTTTATCACGGAAGCTATTTATTCCAGTGGTGATTATCTCTGTTTAATGAAGGAATCTGAGTGTGTGTGTAGTATATTGCAATGAAGAACCTGTGATGCACCACTGCAGTTTATTTAAAAACTAGAAGGGAGATTTTTATATGCAAAAATCAGTAATAGTAGCAAATGGCTATTTTTTTTACTATCTTCTCTTAGCCCATTAAGTGTTCTTGAAAAAATAAATATATAAATAGAAAATGTATTTAAAAGGATCTTCAAGAGTATCCTGAAGAGCATTTAATACACTTTGCTATATGAATATCTTAGGGTGGAATTTGGGAGAGAGGAATCCATTCTTGCCTGTGCCACAACCATGAGTTGTAACCTTAGGCAAGTCATTTACCCTCTCTGTGCCTCACTTTAGTGGTGTGGGAGTAATATTAAGCTCCCTTGGTTCCTGATGAGGTTTTCTTTCGTTGATGATTAAGATAGTTTGAAATATCAGAAAGTTAACATTATTCTCATTACATTTAGATGTCAGAAGCTATGTTTCAAACTATTTTTTTCCCCTTAATTTTTTCCTGATGATTTTTCTTATGATAGGACTATCACTGCTATAGATAAGATGAACATCATTGCTAGTGACACTCGCAAGTATAGTGCAAATAGAACAGAACTATTTTGCAAACTTCAGGTTTTTAGGTTTGAGTTACCATTATAACAAACATTAGATGTGGTGTTTTACTGTAATTTATATTTTGTTTTGATTTGTTTTCATTTTCAGTTCAAGCTCAACAGCTGATGCAAATTCAGAGGAAACAGCTAATTTTGAAAAAGGAAAATCAACATTAAGCAAAGTTTTGGAGTCTTTTTGTTCATATCACTGGCAACAGACTTTGGCTATGTTAAAATTTCTAATACAAGATGAAAACTTTCCTATAGCTTGCAGTTGCAAGCAAGCACATTTGGTCCACTCTGAAACTCCCAGTTCCCTTACTGAAGAGGATGTTCACATTTCATTTTGTAATTGCAATGGACATATGCTGACAAAAAGGTGCTGTTTACAAACTCAGAGACCAAACACTTGTTTACCACCTCTGTCTGTCTGTATTAAAGATTTCCATTCTTTGTCATGCCAAGCTGTAGTGATTGGATGTATTAAGACAATGGTGAACAAAGCATGTAGTTCTCATAAGTATTGTGCTGAACAGTTGCAAAATTACAGCTGGCATTCTGGGAAAGCAGCAGCATGTACCTATTCAACTAAGGACTGTGATCTCTTGAGCAGCATTAAAAATTCAAATAGATCTCGCAGCCCATCACCACCTCCACTGTCACCTGTGCAGAGTAAAGAATTTGAATCATCGGAAGGATCGGTTATAGATTTCCCAACTTTAGACAACAACAAGTTTGAAATATCTGTCAACCAGCCTCCATCCCTCTTGCCAGCTGAAGGAAGCAACGGAAAATTTGAATATGAAAGTAAAACATGCAAAGGAAAAGGGACAATGTTGCTATCAACAGACCAAGAAAGCAACAACTATTATATAAATCCTGAGAAGGCTGAGAAAGGTGAACATTCAGCCATTTTTCAAGATTTAATGGACCGCATTAATGAAAAGCTAAAATCAATAGACACTACAGATATAGCAACAAATCTTGTAAAACTCTCTAACAGTGACAGGACACCAGAAAACGATGTCAAATTAGGAGACTTCATAACCTCTCTTTTGCATAATGCTAAGGCAAGTGATTACAGCTTTATGGAGTTACTTCGCCAACATGATAAACAAATGGAAAATAACATCATCCAAACAAGATTTCGCAAGCGTCAGGAAACTTTATTTTCAATGTATAATTCTCCTGATTCACCATTCATTCGACGACAGTCTTTGCAAATCAAGAGGCAGCTTGCAAGCCTTGATGAAACCCTTGTAAGAAAAAAGTCAATTTCTGAGAGAAATGCAAAGAAATACACCAGAAAAATCGATAAAATATATCCAAATAAAAGACACAGTTTTACTGTGATAGAAGAGGAGGCTTTGCAACATCTTGAAAATAACCCATGCATGAATTGCCAAACCAAACCAAGGTGCTTTCCACTACACCAAACAGAGTCTTTCAAACTACCTCTTACTAATTTCCACACGAGCTCTGACTTTCTAGTTCTTTCAGAAAACAGTGCTATTGCAGCCAGACAGGCGAAACTCGCAAAAACGCAAGGAGATTGTGTAACCTTAAGTGAGACTGGTCAAATGCCTCTACAGGATGAGAGTAATGGAATCTTGGGCAGAACTAAACGTAATATTGTGCCTCCTGGATGGTACTCTGTGTATGTAACAAATAATATTGTAATTAGAAAGTCATCTAATGCAAAAAATTCTTTTGAGAGTTTGGAAAAAATGAAACTAAATAAAGATGTTCATGCTGAAAGATGCAATGACATAAATATCAGCAAAATTGTGAGAGATACAGATCTGCAAGTTGTTGTAGAGCGTTTAGAAGATACAATAAGCTTAGCCAGAAAGACTAACAACTCATTGTTGGATAGTTACAGAATAAGCCAAAAAGTTAATGCATATGAACAGGTTATGAACCCAGGTGCTAGAAGAGACTTGCCTTTCACTGTGAGTGAAATGGGATGCAAAGGACAAAGCTTACTTCCACATTCATATGTGCCAAGCAGCAGTAAAATCAAAACCGTGTGTGTGACAACAAACAAACAAGAAATGGTTATACATCAAGAAATAAATGACAGCCTTTTGAAATCTCTGACCTTTAATTCATCTGGTTCAGCTTCCAACAATGGGGACTTAAATACAACTTCTGAAGCTGGGGAGATCTCATCTCCCTTAAACTACTCCAGTCCTATTAAGCTTATGTTTGTCTCAGAGGTTAATAGTAGTGAAGGAGTCAAATATACTTTGACATCTGCAGCTGCATCTTCTAAAGGAAGCACAGATATTTGTTTATTTCAGGGGCACTCAAACACTTTGTTAGACAAACAGGTCACAGGAGATCTTTCTCATGCAATCTGTGTCAAAGATTGTGATTACAGTGAAAATGAGACCAAGGAGGAGTCAAGTTGTGTTTATGCAGAAGCAGTTACAAGCTCTTGTCCAATTGGTCAAACTACCTTAGATGACTCAAAACAGAATGAGGAAGTTGTGGAGAAACCAAGCAGTAGCAGTGAATTGGTTTTAAAAAGAAAACCTGGTAGACCAAAGAAAATAGGTCCTCAAGTTGTTAAGCAGGTTAAGAGACCTATTGGACGGCCTCCTAAACCAAAAGTAGACATGACTGAAAGTGCAGAACCTAGACCTAAACTTAGTAGTGATGGTAAAAATACCAACTTGAGTGCAGGAGTAATGGAAGACGTTAACAGCAACAAAAATATTACTGTGACAGTTGTTTTTGGAAGGTCAAGAAGAACTAAAAGGCATGTTTCTGAAAGTAATCTAAATGTAATTAGCTTTCTGCCCACACAACACATTGATTCGAATTTTGCTAATGACCACAGCAAAGTGAGGCACAATGTGGAGACTGAAAACGCTTTTACTGAAATAGTAAAAGCCTTACAAAATTCTTCTACTGAAAACGAGGTCTCTGGTTATGACTATGTCAGACCTATCAAGAGTAACCTAGCATCACCACATCCAAGCAGCAATATCATACGGCCTATTAAGAAACCGCTAACCACCATTCGTAAACCCGGCAGGCCAGCAAAAGTAAAGATCTCCGGCATATCTGTGACTGTTAATAGAGTTTCACCTCAGGAAAGAAAAGTGAGCATTAGCAACTGTTTGCCTCCTTTGCAACAGCAGAGTGTGTTAGAAAAAAACGTACCACAGGAGAGGAAAAATCAACTGTGCAGTAATATGGGTCAAGTAAAGAGCATGCAGAAAGATTCTAGAGAGGATGGATCAAGCAATGTTATTACAACAGTGTCAAGAAAACATGAAATTCCATCGAGACATTCTGCTAGAGACAGAAAACCCTCGCTGCACTTTTTACATTCATTAGCATCTTCTAGTGCATTTACTTGTAGAAGTGCCTTACTACATAAATCGTACAAACTCCATTTGAAAAAAGCTAAAGATCGAAAGGAAAAACATAGGCAATCAAATCAGAGCACAGCATCCAAAGATACCTCAGAACTGAGAAATTCAGGAAATGCAAAAATGGATCTTAAGGATGGTGAATTCGGGCCCATTAATGAAGTGTCGTCGGACCCCATTTTTTCATCTAATCCTTCTCTCAGGTGGTGGCCTACTTCCACTTCAAGTGACACTTTGTTGGAAGAACTAAACAATAGATTTGAACAGATAACTAATACCTGGTTGCGAGTGGGGGGAAATGAGTTTGATAAATGTGCATGTGAAAAAAGGGGTCCCGTTGAACAAGACTGTGACACTGAAATGTCAAACCCTTTAGACTCCTGCCTTGTAGAACTTGAAACATCGCCTATAAAAATGCTTTTTCAGAAAAAGTGTAATATGAATGAACTCTGCACCTGGTTTATGCAAACTACAGAAACACAGTCTCTCTCTCTAGTGAGAAAGGCGAATGCTCGCAATCCTTTAGAAGTAGTTAGTACTAGAGAGATAAAGATGGAAGCTAAACAATCTGATCTTAATACTTGCCCTTTCAGAAAGCACTTTAAAAAGTTTGCACTATCCTCACCTTCCAAACCAGCAGGGAAATTACGGATACTACATAACATGGTGAGGTCTCCAGTCTTAAGCATGAAAAGTAATTTCACATTAGCCAGATTAAAAAGAAATGAGTTTAAGAAGCTACGGCATGATAGGTGGGGACAGATGAAAAAGCTCTATAACCAGGCTCCTGGAGGCTGGAAATCAAAAAAGAAAAATCTGCAGTTCTTTTGCCAAAGCCAGTTGTTTAAAAGTACAAGTGGGGAAGCCAATGATGAAATGCCCAAGATCCAGGAAAAAAACACAGTAGAAATCCAGCCCCCTCAGACTTGGGTAGAATCTCAGAGTAGCCTCTTGCCAACTGAAAATGAAGCCAGAGATGCATTTGTTCAACAGATGATGGGATCTTCTGAGTTTAACCCACATCCTGGTTTAGCAAATATACTTAAGTCACATGCAGAGACAAACGGAACAGTTTGTTGCCAACAGAATGTTAGAAAAGAACAAAGCCAAGATAAATTGTTTCAAAATACTTGGAAAGCCAAAACCTTTAAAGACTGTAGGATATTTCTGAAAAAAATCAACCATATTGAGCAGCACAATTCATTTAAGTTAAATAATGTCATTTATTCTCCGGAAGCTGTTGAAAGTAAAAGCACTCAGTCCTATATGGAAGAAAAAAGACATCCTCTTTTGAGGTCGCATTCTACTAAACAAAATACATTAAAGAAACAAGAAAATGAAATGGAAATGTCTAAAGGATCCAATTCTTCTGAAGTGACTGAAAGGCTGGATGACCAGTTTCACAGCACAAAATTTAGAGGTGTAAACTATGATGATAATCCTGCTGGTAGTTCAGAAGTTCTTATCAGAATAAACAAAAGAAAAAGTCCACAATGGGAGACCACTGATACAAATATAAGAAAAAGGCATAAAAGACAATCATGCAGTAGTGGACAAATGGCAACTTATTACCCAAAGTACCAAGTAGGTAAGTTTCTGTTCCCCCCTTCATCTTAAAATTGTAGTCTTAAAGAACTAAGCAAACAACTAAGCACTTTGGATTTTATTTTTTTTTTAATTGCATGATACTCAATTTCAGAGAAGTCATGAAATTAACCATTACATAGCATCAGAGTAATGCAGAAAAGTGTGACTTTAAAATGTATTTTACATGTATCTTTCAGCTACAGTAGGTGTGTTACATTCTATTACGCCTATAACACACCAAGATAAAAGAAAAAGAGCTAACCTAAAACAGCTCATACAACTTATCAGGTCACAACTGGTTATCAGTTTCAAAAGGAACTGAATTTCATTCCACTGTGTAGTTTCTCATATTGTGAGGAAGGGTGAATAATGAAAATGAAGCAGAAATTCAGTGTATTAACATCTAGTTGTTTAAAAAAAGTTGTCATTGAATGATTTCTAATATAAATCAGTAATGATTTTATAAGTATATGCTAAAAAATCATACTATGTACTTCTGAGAAGTATTCATTCAGAGATCCGTTTTAGTATCCATTCGTTGCCAAGTGAAATCTGATGACTATAAAGTGTTTGTACATTGAATCCTTACAGAGCAACTTAAAATGCAAAATTATGCTAGACAAGTACGATACACAGTTACTATGCTAAATGCATTGGCTTGGAAACTCTTTAGGCTAGTGTGAAGTTAAATCCATTTTGAAGCTAGATGTTTATGATACGTTGTAATACAAATACAATCTTAGAAAGGCTGTTATATTACTTACAAAGAGGGTACACTTACGAAGTTATTCCTTCCATTGGGTGAAGACATCTCCTTAAACAGAAGTCTCAACTTACTTCAATAAAATAATTAAGGTGTGAAATACTCACCAAGTGAAAAAAAAAGGTTCTGCAATAGGAACTAAATTACCGCAGAAGTATTTGTTTATAGAAACAGCATTGTATTAGCTAACCTGATTATATTGCCCAAAGAAATAAAAAACTCTTCAAAATACCAGACCAAAACCTTAGGTCCCTCTTTGTATTATATTCCATAGAAAACTATCTCCGATAATAAACTGAAGAGTAAAATTAAGTTGTAGTATAAACAACATTATGGCTCTTGTATACTTCATTTCTTTTGTGCTTTATGTGATATATAAAATTCAACAAGCTCATTCAGCATAACCCTGCTTTTCCAAAATACAGCGTTTTTTAGATTGTGATTTTGTATTTTAATTTACTGATTTGCAGCTAAACTCAACATACAAACCTTGTTTTTAGGAAGTTCAAACCTTGACACAAGACTGCTGTAAGAGCCAGACCTAGAAAAGGAAAGGGTAACATCTATCTGTTTCTGTTTTGCAAATGAAGAAAGAGCTCTCTCATAGATTTATTTCATGATTTTGACTGTAGTTAAGAAAATCTTGCATTCAAATATTTAAACCTTTTCTTGCTATGGCAGTGTAAGACCTATTACTGTGATATGGTCTCATGTTAGTTTTAATTGGGACTCAATTTTATTTACCTGATAACTTTCCTCCTTCAGTTTTGGATCTTTAGGAAATCTGATAACTATTTTGATATTTTACATTATTTCATTTACAATTTTCGTTATTTTCGCTTTTACTCATAGTTTCTCATATCAATTGTTGTCTTAGAAAGTTCACTGATAAATGAAATGTTAAAAGACAAAGAATTACGATTCTGGAATTCTCTTCACACTTATAACCCCAAATCTTTTTCCAGGGGTACTGTTGTAGTATTGGGGGATTGTCTGACATAGAAAAGGGTGTCTTGTTTTGGCACGTTGGTTCAACATTGTGTAATGTCTGCACTAGCCAAGGAAATCGTATAAGCATTTTTAGTCTAAAGTATAGCTCCTGGCTAAAAAGAATGAACATGATTTCTAGCTGTGCATGTATCTGTTTTCAGACATAATTCCTACATCTGGAAGTTTAATGCACATGAAAACATCATTATTCATTTGTATGTTCTTAGGACTGTATTTTTGTTGATGTGCTATCACAAATTGCATCATTGTTCTGTTGTCATGCCTGAAATGTTCTTATTACACATTTATGGTCAATATTTAAAGTTTTTCTTCAAGTTTTACTGACATTGGTGTCTTACTGAATATGCTTGAAAGAAAAAGGTGTTGTGATGCTGTTTTATTGCGAAGCATTGTGGCAGGTAGGCAGAACACTGTTATCAAATGTTCATGTATACTCAGTTTTTCCTAGAATGTGCAAGTGAGAATAAAGCACTTGAGTTCTTACAGCTCAAGGTAGTATCAAGGAACCAAAACTAGCCGTGTACTCACTGTAGCAACAGAAGGAAGTCGATCACTTTTTCATATTGCCTGTTTTATTCAAGATAAGGTGGCTGGTAGATACATTGGTCCGTATAACTTTAGAACTGTTGCTTCAACAATGCATTTGATGTGTTGAGGCGTGGTCCCCTTTTACGGTAAATCTGTGTTCTGACCATTTTAATTCCTTCAGTGAAAGTGGAACATTATTACTCTCTGTGTTGGCAAAGAAAATTATGTAAGGCTGTTTTTAGGAAAGCATTTATGTTTTCTTTCCATGAGGGTGGTTCGCTGTGTTTCATTATAACACTGAAGACCACATTCATGTGCTTTGGACTTGGCCAAAAGGCTTCAAGAGAACCAAGCTGAAATAAGATAAACTGTTATCCAACGGTAAAATAGGACACTGTGAAAAACTCCATTTTAGAAACTTACAATACACTGAGTATTTAAAACTCTCCTTCAGAGGGTGTGGATTTATCACGGATGCAAAGGAGGCTGTGGACCTACTACAGCAGCAGGCAGAACTGTAGGCTGTGATGACATTACATACCTGTTTACTTACCCTTTGTGTCAGGGTGGGAATTCACATGAAAATGCTTCTAAAAATCAATTCTAATCACTTCTTCATCTAAAATAATTTTCTCCATTATGATTTGGCTTTTCTTCAGTAGTCTGGAGTTTTAGAAGAAAATCTATTGTATTTGTTGGTAGAGAATATAAATTTTCAATTTCATTATATTTGAATGCTGGCTTTAAATGCTATCTTAGGGAGACCAAGTTAGTGCAGTACTTAAAGTGAGAATTTGCTGGTCTTTGTAATCATTTCAAAGTTGACTATAAGAGTTAAGATTCTAACTATGAAAACTTGGTATCTTTATGACTCTGATTGTTCTTGATTGCACACTTAAAACTACGTCTATATTAATATGACAACAGACAAAACTTTTCTTAACTTTGACTTTTGTTACCAGAAATTTTCTTAAAATCGGGAGGGAAAATGTTGTGAACTTTTTACACATCTATATTAGTATGGCATTAATATTCCAGTATTGTTACTTATTTGTCCTGTGGTCTTGCAGTCCAGTAGTGATAAGGCTACAGTGTGAATCGCTTTCCCGCTACTGTGGAAGACATCAGTCTTTGATCTGGTGACAAAAAGAACTGGATTTTAGCAAGTCTCTAGGGCTTTCTCTTTCACGAAGCAGCACATTTCGTGCTCCTAGTGGGGAACAAATTTAAAATATTAGGTTACATAAAATGCAAAAGAGACAGTGTAACAGCCGTTAAATCCGTTGATTTTTGAGAATTCCTTTTCAACAGCTTAGCTCTTTTCACAAAGGCTTTTCATCAGAGTTTCACCTGTGATGCAGAGTAAACAGAAATGTTCATAACTGCAACTGCCAGATGAGAAGTCACTTTTTCACAGACAGCCATAAAACAAAGTAAGAAAATTAATAGAAGATGCAGGAACAATATTGAAATGAATGACTCAACCCAGTAAGTGGGCTTTTTTAATGCAGAAGTATAAAAGCAAAAAAGGTAGACTTGATATATAGTTGACCACACATGTATAATAAATCCTGACTCATTAAATGAACTTAATGGTCTCTCCTTCGTTCCCCTTAATGCGACAACAACAGCTCTAATACCACAGCCTAATACTTAATCTTGTTTTACACTCTCTTTCCTTCCCTTGTCTTGTTCTCTCATCATGTGAGGTGTATAAAGTTTGGGTGCTCTTTGGGTTTAAACTGTGGTTATTTACATCTTGCCTTAGGGTATGCTGTTCCTCTGGTTCTTTTGCAGATTCTGAGCGAAGGATTTTTACTTCTGCTTGTTATTTCGAAGAACTCTACTCTGAAGTCTTTTATTTCCTTTATCTGCAAGGAAGTTTCAGTAGTTTAGTGTCATGATCAATAAGCCTTTGTGTAGGATTTATATATCCAGTTTAAAACAGAAGTGGGTTTTTTTTTTCATCATTCAGTATTGTTTTATTATCTCTTTATTTCCTCAAAAACTGGGAAACTCATACTCACGCTTTCCTATTTGTCCTCAGTCCTGAGGAAATGGTTAAGTTGTTCAGCTTTCTTTAGGGAATTGGTAATAACTACATAAATACAGACACTTAATGGCTTAAGCCGTTCTCTAGAAGAGAAAACAATTTTCCCAGGCCTGCCTCGTACTTCTGAAGATATGACAAGTACATATGCCTTTTAAAATCCTTTTTTCTGTTAGGAGCTTACGGCTTAAAGCAGAGCTTCAGCCGCTGTTAGGAAAGGATGAAGGTCGATCAACACAGCCTGTGGTGATTGTAAATTTGTGATTTTGTGAAGGAGGTGTCGGTGCAGTCTGACCATCACAAAGCAGTTAATTATACTGAGACAATTTCACATTTTGATGTTGAACTCTGGTAAAATATTCGTGTTCAAGAAAGATGCTTTAATTCATAAGGGCATGTGTACTGTGCCTTAGTTTGCATTCCTCTATCATTTATGTGCTAAAGCTAGTGGTGTTTTTCTTTTCTTTCACCAAATTTTTGTAAAGCATCTCACACTAGAATCTCCAGTTAGTTCACAGAATCACAGAATGGTTTGGGTTGGAAGGGACCTTGAAGATCATCTAGTTCCAACCCCCTGCCACGGGCAGGGACACCTTCCACTAGACCAGGTTGCTCCAAGCCCCATCCAGCCTGGCCTTGAACACTGCCAGGGATGGGGCAGCCACAGCTTCTCTGGGCACCCTGTGCCAGTGTCTCCACACCCTCACAGTGAAGAATTTTTTGCTAAGTCTCAGCTGAATCTCCTCTCTGTCAGCTTAAAGCCATTCCCCACTGTCACTATGTGCCCTTGTAAAAAGCTCCTCCCTAGCTTTCTTGTAGGCCCTTTAGGTACTGGAAGACTTTATAAAGTCACCCCTGAGACTTCTTAAGGCTAAACAAGCCCAAAGTTGTGTTCAAAACAACTGAATAAGTCACATTCAAGAAGTGCAGATTGTGGTTCCAGAATCGAGGGTAAAATTTAAAATGGTGTGAGATGACTGGGCTGTGCTTTGGCTGTATTCTTGGGTAAAGTTTCCTTCCCTAATTCCTCTTTCAGTCAATCAAAAGAAAGTTGTAGTCTGTCATTTGACGATTCGGCACCTTCTTCAGTTATTTCAAGCCAAATATAATGCCACATTTCTTCACTGCTTATCCTCTTCCTAATGGAGTCCTTTTGTTTTGGTGTAATTACACAGTTGTGCCTTAAAGATACAGTTTAAACAAGATTTGAAACTAATAGAAATGTTTTTACTATTCTAAAGTAGTAACTTATCTGAAATTTTGTTTCAAATGTAGGTAAACATTTAGTAGATGTTAGAGATTATATTTCATTTTTGATATTCCTTCTTCCTTGTATTCATTTGGTAACTGGATATTAATTTACTACAAAGAAGTTTTTTGCCATATTCTAAGGACAGCATTTTCGTATCGTGAGGTGTTTCCTATGGTCAACATGAGAAAAGAAAGACTATTTGCATTTTCAAATGGCCTTGAATCTTGAGTGTTCCCCAACATACTGAGTATTTCTGAAAGCTATTGACAGCCTTCAGGTTCTAATTAAGCCAGATATTTTTACAGTGATCAGCAACTAACTGGATGGATGTGTCTGAGTGGGAATTGCTTTATATGGAACACGAAGATTTTAAGAGCAACGTTCTGCATTCACATGCACACACCACTGCGGCATCGCAGCTTGACAGTTCTGCCCTTCATGGTCATTGAGGTGGTGTCATGCTTTGTGGTTCAATGTGGTATAAAACATGATGGTGTTCTTGGGTGTGTAATCTGGCAAAGAAAGTCTATGGAATCCTCATTAACAAAGTTTGCTTCCAAGGTATTAAAAAAATACATATTAATAGATATTTTAAAACAGAAGAAAATATTTGGAAATGTAAGTTTGGGGGGTTTTAACAAATACAAGTATGTAAAAATGTATGATTTATAGACCTGTACCTATATATATATATGTACAGGGATATGTACATATATGAGATATATGAGAACATATCTAATGCACCATTTTAAGAGAAAAATCACTTCTTTGAAATGAATATAACCTCGACTGAGGTCCCAGTTGAGATGTTAATTGGAACTTTTTAATTACTTTAATGTTTGTGAGGATTTTTTTAATAGTGCTGTATAAAAAAACCAGAAAAAAACAGAAATTATTTCACTGCTGGTCAAATAAAATGTTGAGGCTTTTGTAACTGAGCAGTAACTAAAATGTACTCCAGGCATTTTTATCAGGTTCCTAACTAGGTTATGACTCAAAACACTGTTTTGACTGGTCGCAGTGTACCTTGATAAAACAATGCTGTTCTTGAGACACATCTCTCTCCCGCTTCTCCTTAAAGTGCATAAAGTATTATCTTGAGTTACTTCAGTTTTCATATCTCCTCCATCTGTTATTTCTTTTCCCTCCTTATTGGATTGCCAGCTTTCAGCTGACTACTTGTTTTCTCATCTAAATGCTCACTTTTAATTTCTTTTCTCAATGTGTGATTTTTTCAATGGTGTATTCTGTATTACTCACTTTAGTAAGTCAGACTAGCTGTGTTTTCCCTGCAGCTTTCTGCTTGCTTTCCCACAGGAGCATAGAAAGTGTGCATATTTTTTTGGGGAGGCTGATGAGCCCAAGCAGGATGTCTAACCACTTCCATAACAGCTCAGCTCCCATCATGTCACACTGTTGGCACTGGCTCTCTCTTCCAGTGTTGGCGACCCACTGCTTCTTGTATATCACGATACTTGTATTTTTACAGCAATGTAGCACTGACTTGTTCTTCATCTGTCACCCACTATAGCTGCCTATGCCTTTGTGAAAGAATTGCCCAGCCTGCATTGGTACTATGAACTGCTGTTTATTTCACACCATAGCTTTTATTCCTTTGTTTTATTCAGACCCAGGTCTGAAACACTGTTCAGATCATCCAGACTAATACCCTCTGGTTGTTCCACATTCATCTGCATCCTCTCTTCATACTTTGCTCTCCTTCTTTAATTGATTCTCAGATGATGCATCAGCTTTTTTCCAAGCAGTACATTTGTGAGTGCCAAAGCATGCCCTCAAGAGCATGGCAGAATGAGTGCAGCCCGGTTTCATTCCCTGTTTTGTTTTGTGCTGCATGTTTGTCATTGTGTACTTCTGCTGCTCTGTGCTTTTACACCTGGTGAAAGATTTATAGTAAAAAAGAGTGAGATGTCTGTCAGCCTCTGTCATAGATTGCTTTCACTGATGTGCCACAAGTGCTAAGCAAATTTCTACTAGCCTTTCTCAGTTATCTTTCCTATATATTTCATATGTATTTCATACTTACTTTCTTTCTTCTTCCCATGTTTTGGGGTTTTTTTCCTCAAACCAAGCAAACATTTGTGAGTTAGTGTTGAAGAGCAAAAGAAACGTTTTCGCCACCATTTCAGTCTGGGACTGTGGCTGGTTCTGATTTCTCACCCCGTCTTTTTGTCTGCATTCAGTTCCCCTCCTGTCATGGTTCTGCCTTTATTTGTCTCAGTACTCAGTACCAGCTGTGTTAAACCCAGCTCTTAGGTCTAATTTTTAAAAGCCTCCTGTGTATCGCTTGTCTCCCCAGCTTGCTTTGATCTAGTTGAGCATGTCATTTATTTCCAGGGCATTTCTTTCTCTCTCTCGGATTCCCAAATGGGATTCCATCCACTCAGCTGAAAAAAAAATATTTCTTACTACAATGAATCCATTTGATAAACAGAAATGAGACAGTAAAATTTTCTTTGTAGATTTTTTGTTGTTGCATTTGGGCATTGTGGAAAAAGATGAGTTAAATTTTAGAGAGAATAAATCTGTGTGTGCTTGGTTTACTTTCATTTCACTGTTTCTTGCATTACTGAATCAACCTCTGTTGGAAGGGGTGCTGTAGGGTTTAACCTAATCTATTCCTCTGTTTCCTTTTTTGGGAAAAGTCTAAGTACTTTATACAGAGAAAATGTTTTTATGCTGCTGAAGATTTACTGTTTCTACTCAGTATGTTTTGAAACCTTTCTGTAAAAGCCTCAGATAAGTGCTGTAACTCATCAGTGCTCTTATGCTTTCCAGGCTGTCAGTTTGCGCCTCAGTGATGGCAGTGTTAAAAACAGTGCAGTCTGCAGAATCTTTGTCAGACAGGAAGGTAAAAACCAGTTTGCCCTAGCCCTCAGCTAGGTGGGAAGGAGAAGTGTTTATGAAATAAGTAAATGTTGCAAAAGATTTAGAGAAACATAACCCTGCGGTGCTACTTTCATAGTCATTTTACAGCCTACAAACACAGTACTTGATGGTAATCTCTTTAATGGGAAATGCTGAGGAGTCACCTAACAGATAAGAAACATTTATCCCTATTTCTACTTCTTCTGCATGGCCTTGACACATCATAGGCAGAGATTAACCCAGCAGAGTTAGTTAATGAACTAGCTAGCTCAGTATGGACTTGAGCTAGCCAGGTATTTCTTAACTTTGTTGTTTTCATATAACAGGTGTCAAATCCCTGCTTTTCCTGGAAAATACAGGGAAAAACTGCATGGAAAATAAGAAGCTCAAAGAATATTTGTATGCGTGTGTGTGCTTGGCAGCGTATCAAGTTATACAGTATTGCTCTCACATGCTCCTATTAATTAGTCAGCACTTCTGTAACAATGATTTGGGTTAAACTAAAGAAAGAATCACAAAATTTCACAACTACTTGTATTCAAGCAGTTTATCTGGAA